AACAGTAAGTTAACGGCTCGTGCGACTGTAGGCAATGACATCATTAAAATGCGGGTTGGTGCCTCGGTCATGTCTCCTTCTTGGCGGTATGATTATGTGGAAAAAACAGAGTGTGGCGAGGCTGACATAGGGGAGAGAAAGCCGTCGGCGGAGTCTCCTCTAATGTTTAGCCTTTGATAAATCAAGCTTGAATGTTCCAAGGATTATATGCGGCACTGTATTTTGGACAGAGAGGGTGTGTTTTAAAGCATTACACCACGCGTACAAGGTTAATTTCTAACCAATTCCGTTCGACACTTCCGCTATACCTAAGAAATATCACTATATAGGGAGGTGCCTACGAGCACAGACCAAAGCATGATAACCAAGGGGTGGTAACACCAAGTATATCATCACTAGCTTTGCCATAACAGACAGAAATTCCTCGTAAGCTTAACTACTTTCTATATTGCAAAGAGGCAGAGAGGATAAAGCAATGACTTGGTACCGCAATGAGCAAAGGAGGCAAGGAGACGCATGGTATAACGGGATAACAGACTGTAGATCGTAGTGAAATCATGTCGCCGCTAACAAGACTGGTACCTGGGCCTAATTCCAGATGACTGGCTTCGTAGCACCAATCAAGCCAGTACTTCCATTCTGGTCCAGCACTATCTTAGGACTCACGCTGGTAAGGTATGACCAGGAAGCGCCAGGGCCGTTAAATCATACGTATCATAGCGTAACCCAATCAGTTTCCTCGGCCACGAGCCGCCGCAGCTCTCGTATTAGGTCTAGGGGCACGAGCATGTGATTGACAATTGTTCTCAACCCCGGAGGCATTGGAGTCAGGATTGGAGTTCACATTTGAATTTTGAAACCCTCGGGGATCATCATGCGCATGCGTCGATACGGACTTATCGGAATGCTCTTTGATTTGCAGTGGTTTATTCACCGGGGTAAAGGTATTGGGCTGGTATGACCGTGGTTCTCTATTTTCTGCGCCTGAGAGAGGCGAGTGGCATCTGTTTGCGTGATGGTTGTTCTGTAGGGCGGCAGAGAACATGGTTCGCGAACGGGTCCTCCTAGATGGTCCGGTGCTGCTCATTTCTGATAGGAATCTGGGTTGTCGTTATATGCTCACGCTGTGGGTGAGGCGAGTTGTATTTATATATTTTGAATGAGGCGCTTACTACGCCAATGTCCTTTGGACAGGTTATAATTGGCTACTAAAGGCGAGGGTATGGTAACTATTATCTCGATTTTTATTTTAGTTAAGACTTATTTTAGCATTTGGAATATTTTGGTATAACCTTTTCTTTTGGTAAGTAGCTATACAAATCCTACGTACACACAACGCCCGTGACAGGAGTTCGCTGACAGCTGTGTTGAGTATGTATCTCATGCCAGGAACCTCACAAGGGGTATCGAAATAAGACATTGAGACGCACATTGTATCATATTCCGACAACTTGTCTTCCCCTGTATGCACACTCCTTCATTCTCTTCTCCTCCAACATCGAGGTCTAGCTGTATCTGGGACATATCATTTGGGGACGCTAATCGCTGTATCACATGATACTTGCCCGCCGTTGGGCCAAGACGAAGCCTCTGTGCTATCTCGCCCATATTTCTCATGGCCCTGCATCGCTTCCGTTGCTTCGTTCTTACTCCTTCCATGATGGCAGGGCCTATGTGCACTCAGGCATGCTATCAGCAGCAACATGATTAGAACCAAGATGAGTAGACCCCCATATCCCACCTGACCAAGGCCTCCATAGTACATGATGTTGTAAAACGCCAATTTGTCGCCAGCCTGAAACCTTTGAAATGAGGTCTGATAACCGTGGATCTCGCCACTGACATAGCCTCCTGCAGCAAGCATAATCACAACCTGTACAGCTTCAAGGCCTACAAAGTAAAGCCCAGCCTGATCGTATTCTCTTCGCCACCTCGTGGTTATAATCACGGTTTCGAAAAGAGCAATGAGAGTAGAAATGGTGCCGAAGGTTCCCGTAGATCTCATGACCCTGTCCATGAGACTTATGAACATCTTGTCTGGATAGCCCTTGCCGGGAGTGACGATGTCGGATTTTGCTCGGTCCTGTAGAATGTGTGCGAGGCCAACAATGGCCCAGCACAGGCTGGCGGCAGCCCAAGTTGTGATACAGAGAAAACCACATATAAGGTTCTCTATGATCTTGTATCTGGTGGACATTTTGAAGTGGTACAGCTACACAAGCAATTGATGGGTAGTTGTTTGCGTCTGACCTTGGTCATAGAAGAATTGCTGATAGAGAACAATAGAGAGAATGGATCCAAGAAGTAAGATTTAATTTATATATTACGGTCTCTACACAAGGCTCCCGTCCTAGAAATGCGTGATCATTAGGTGAGCGAGGATGCTCCCTAGGCTCAGCGGTCCACCGTGCTCCGCCACCTGCACCGCCACCTGACGTCCTCGGTGCTTCATATAAGAGGAAGGGGCTATGCAAGCCTAGGCTTTCTTTGAGCTAGCTGCCACTACGCCCTTCACCGCATGTTTGTCGGAACTGCTACGCGAAAATAAAAACACAATTGCGCTGCGAAATCAGTTCAAATGATTGATATTTACAGAGTATATTCAACTCGATTATTTTGTGTTTCTTCCTGCAGGGCAAATATGTCGAAGCTTAAGGGTGGAGAACATGTTCAGATGAAATGTGATAACAGACAGCCATCGAGCCATGCTATTTCAATATGTACCCAGAGACAAACAGAATTGAATAAGACCAATACTATGAGAAATGTCCCGGTGTAGTACAATATTACTTTCAAGTCAGCTTCGTTGAACAAGCGGTCGGACCATCGTATCTCGGAGATGAGCATCTATTATGATGTCATCCAACCCGATCAGGACATTGGCCTTACACCGAAATCAGATTTGTACCCAGCCTTTTATCTCTTGTAACCAACGCAAAATGCCAGCGGGCGATCCGCTCTTACTGATATACCCCAATTCGCGGAATGGACGTATAAACACCTTTTGAAGACTGATCATTCTCAGCTTGCCATTGGCACGGTCAACAAAACCCTGCAGAGTGTTATAACAGATGGCGCAGTCACTTAGCACGAGTGACTGGAGGCTAGGAGACGGGTCATAACAGAGAAGAGGTTCCCAAAAGCCGAACTGTCCTCGCAACGTTAAATTCGGTATACTTTTTACGGCTTCTAGGAACATGGATGTCACCCCTAGATCCTCGATCGTGTCATCGGCCCAAAAGATATCAACAGCGAGGCTCTTTAGGCGTGGGCCCCTCTTACGAATTGTATCAAGCACGCGACCGATCGCTTGTAGATGTTGACGAACTAACTCGGCGGGCAGTGTGTACACGAGTGGAGAATAGCATTCGCGACATGGTTCGAGCGTCACGTGGAGGGAAGTTAAATTGGCACAAGACTGGATCATCGCATTCAGATACTCCACATCCGGCCTGATATCTAGATGGTATTTCTGCTTCCACGGGGGTGGAGTTTTAGTCGACCAGAGGTCGCTGCCTTGGGACACTATGTTATTGACGCAAACACATCCAGTGCTCGGCTTGCGCGTACCTGATTCGACTTTCCAGCTGGCAACGTATGTAATTGATCGAACATAAGATAAAATTGCCATTGGGATCAGTTCTTGCCAATGGCACACACACGTCCTGATCCAGATATTTCGAAAGAGATACGGGCTCACAATATCTCGAAATTTGTGATTGACCAAAGCGATGTTATAAAGAGCTCCATACTCCATGCGTTCAACAATAAGAAGCACTACCTCTATAGGTAGCCGGGACAGGAGCGTGTTCCTACGACCCTGGAATGACCTATCGCAAAGTAAACGCTTCTTTGTAGGGGGCGCACGTTGACTAGGCTCATAGTCTGCAATGAGCCTCGTCGGAAAAATCGCTGGATAAGGTTCGAACATTGCTTCTTCCGTGTTAATTAATGACATCAAGAGGACTGACCAATGGACGTTGACGGACAAAGTTACTGTCTGGTACTGCAATTCCAAATAATCACCTGTATACAGGGTGCAACAGCGACACCCGGTCAAATTTTCTAAATCATGAAAGGCCTTTGGATCTGGTTCAATGGAAGATGAAATGCGGAGTCTCTTCCTAACTTCATATATCCTAAATTTTCTACAAACGCGAGATTTATTTTGAGCATGGTTCCAACCAAGAAATAGAAATGTCCCCGTTATAGAATCGTCCGTGCTCGAAGTGAAGGAACTGCTCGAAGTCTCTGCAACTCTCTTCATTATACAACCTTACGCATAAGTCTCGCTCTGCCCTCTAAGTTCTATAGTGGTCGTCGGACTTGAAGTTAGAGACACGTGTACCCATAGGCAGGGGGTTTTCACAAGTTCTAAAAGCTGTGCGGGGGATGAACGGCCGGCAGTGGGTCAGACCTCTTGAATATCGGGCTTTGCTTTGAGGTTACTAAAAGCAACTTCAAGCATCTTAATGCAGCACAAATGACGGGTACCATTGTTATCAAAATTGATGACGTCGTCCCGTGAAAATAAGGAAAACTAGTTGCAAGAAAGCCTTGGGCGGTGGAGTATGCTATTGGGCCTGGGTTCCATAATCTACCCTGAGAATGAACTAACTCCAATCGAGATGACAGTATATATCCGAGTTTTAAACCAAATTCAAACTCTAGTAATGAAAAATATAACCCACACCCACTAAATGCTACACGCCCCTGCTTACCCTTCTGTTAGAAGCATCCACCGAAAGGTTATCGTCTAGCTGCCCGGGAGCTCATGTATATTTGACAAAATAATTACTTGAGCTGCCGCGCAGTCCGGCCGTGTGCAGATCCCATCACGCGGGAATTTGACGGGATCAAGCCTATGCCACCTGTGGTAAGGTCGAGATCGGCGCTTGTTACAGCGCTGGCACCGCAGCCCTCTCGTTTCTCGGTCCGAAATCAAGCAGTAGGCTGGCGGAGGGCTTACGGCGTCTGTTGTAAATGAATCTTGTTGAGCGTCATACTCTGGCTCCTTCCACAAAGACCCAACCTCCAGACCAGATACGGTCGCCGGGGAGCTAGTCCTGTTAGTTCTACTCACCAGACAATACTGTCAGTGTTCGTACCTAGAGCTTAAGCCACGATAAACACCTTGAATCCAGCGCATTGAGTCGTTTACCTCGATTGTGTCTAAGCTTCTAGAATTGGCACTTACTGCTCACTAAGTATTCGTTGTTCCTAAAATATCCCCTTCTGCTTCCTTTAGCTCAGGACTTAATATAGATCAGATGTTAATCACCATCCTATTTATATCCGCTCCAGGGTCTAGATATTTTTGGACACATCGCAGCCCATACGATGGAGATTGGAGCATGGGAGACCTTTCACACCAAGACTAGGACTTTGGGGTAATAGGACTAACTAGTGTATCCCCAGAGTACATCTCGGTGGGTGTTGTTGTAATAGACGCTGACGACCGTCTATCCGACCCCTCTATCTCAGATGGCTGTTTGGTATCAAGTTCAACACCGGAATTGACGACACGCACTCGTATAGAGTTCTTTCCAACCTTAGTGCCGTCCATCTCGGGGGTAACATCCTTCCCTCGAATCTTTCGAAGCACTCGTCGCACCCATGGTATCCTCGTAACCTGTGATGCACGATGGGATCGACGGTAGAACAGAAACGAAACCACGACCCCTAGCACCAGGACTGGTATTGAAGCACCGAGGGCAGCGGGCAACACCCAGCTACGGGACTCGGTGTGTGAGGTGTCACCTCCGGGTGCTTTCGGGGGTCAGATTTCGTCGAAGAGCTATTGTCAGGAAAATGGTGATCAGCATCGTATTGACCCAAACGGTACCTCTGGGATTCTAGAGGATTCGATACCAGGTATTCTCGAGGCTATTTTAACCCCCTCGATCCCAGTAGATAGGAGACAGGAATCAACACTCTTTTGATCTCATCATTTTGGGTAGTTCCCCTTTTTGATTCCGTTGCGCCAATCGCCTAGTACATCCATTGTATTTCCCTAGCTATACAGGATATTCCTGTTAGTTATGAGCCCGGTTGCTCGTTGGTAATCGGGATAGCACGCATCATCAGACTCATTTACGTCTTCATCTGCCTCTGTTATCCTGCCAGCGATTTTTCCTATCCGCTCAGCCACCGACCTACTTTTATCCCCAGGATATCTCCATCATGTCTGCGGAATCCAAAGCAGTAGCGGAGACCCTCTGGGATACTAGTCTTCGTTCGGATGCTCAGTGGAGGACCTGGATTGCTAAGGTCGAAGCTGCAGCAACGAAGGGGAATGTATGGCATTACATGAATCCGAATCTATCTGAGGATGAGGTCCGTAAGGCCCCAGTAGATTCGCGCGACTCCTATCCACATCCTCGTGAAATCAATGAGGATGCCACTGATGTCTCGCAATTATCAGACGCGGAATACAAGCGATACCAGCGGTTGACCTCGGAATTCGATAAGGAAACTAGCTGGAATGAATCGATTCGCACGAAGATTAACAAGGTAGATGCCTTGATTGATGCCAATGTTGCTCCAGAACATCGTCATATTCTCGAGGGCAAGGTCACTCCACATGAAAAACTGGTCCGCTTGAAGCAGCAGTTTGAGCCCAAGGGCGATACTAGCCGCCAAAGCGTTCGAAACGCATGGAGAGATCTGGTCAGAAGACCAATTGGCAGAATCTCAATTGATAAATGGCTTGCAACATGGTCAAATCTCTATGAAGAGGGTAAAGCAATGAATATCCCGGACATTGCATACCATGACGATAAGGGAAACCCTCAGGATCGAGATGCCATTCGAGATTTCCTCCAAGCCGTTGAATCATTCGATGAGGTATTTGTATCCCTTTGGAGGAAAGATATTATGAATAAGGATTTCAGAATTTCCTTCCAAGATATCTTGGCAGCATACCGGAATCACCGAAATGCTAAGGGTGTTGTCAAATCCCCAGGAAATTCTAGCAGCATCGCATTCGCTGCTACTCTTAATGAGCATGAGCCCCAAGAAGGACAGAATTCCGCTCAGGGCTCCCACAATTCTCGAGAACCTCGCTCCAATTGCGTCTGCGGAAGTTCTCGTCATCATTGGAAGAACTGTTTCCATATCAACGCCTCTAAGAGGCCTCCTGGATGGAAACCGTATGAGGATGCTGCAAAGCGAGTAGAACAAAACATCAAGAAGCTCAATGCTGCAAAGCAGAAGGAGCTCCGGAAATTTATGAAGGATAATGGTCAAGAGAAAACCGCCCAATTGGCCCTTACCCAGGCGGATGATGTATCCACTGAGACCCTCATCTTTTTCACTGTGTCTCCATTCGTATTCAAAACCGCCTTAACTCACCCGTTGGCTGCCTGCTGGATAATTGATTCAGGTGCCAACACTCATATCAGCAACCAACGAGACCGATTAATTACATTTACCAAAGAGGAACGCGAAGTGGTCCTGGGATCAGGCAAAGCAATTGCCCAAGGACGAGGAACTGCAAGAATTTGCGTTAACCAACCAGGTGGAGGAACTACCTGGGTACACCTCAAGGATGTGTGGTATGTCCCAGGATTCCAAACCAACGTCATCTCTGTATCAGAAATCAAGAAGAATGGATTCTTCTTCAATAGCGAGGTTCCCGCCATCACTCGCCAGGGGACTTCGGTTGCTATGTGCACAGAGAGATTTGGCTTATATCTCCTAGATGAAGGACAACCTTCCTATGCATTTGCTACCGTTAAGACCTCTGCCAAACCGCTCGTCTCAGTGGCAACCCCACGAATATGGCATAGACGGGTTGGCCACCTATACGATAAACGCATCAAGATACTTGCCAAAATGGTTGATGGCGTTGAAATTCGGCCAGATAATGACGATTCGGCCCTGTCAAATCCCGAAGTGTGCGAGACATGCCAAACCTCTAAGGCAAAACGACAAATCTCACGACGGCCGGCTGACAGAGGGTATATTCATGGCAAATTCGGACGCATTCACTTCGACTTGGTACATATCAAGGATGGTTATAACGGCCATCAGTGGTTTTCACACCTTTACATTGAAGGAATTCGGTTGCATATGGCCCAAACCCACGAGAAGAAGAACGGCTGTATTCAGGCTATTCAAGCCTTCATTGCAATTTGCCGTACACAACTAAAGATGGACATCAACGTGTTCAAGAGCGACAGAGAGCCTACCTTAGGCAATGAATTCATGGAGTACTGCAGACAAGAAGGTCTGACAGTAGAACTCAGCGTGGTTGGAACGCCGGAACAGAATGGATTTATCGAGAGGGCAGGAGGAATCATCATTACCACCGCGAGGGCCCTTATCGCTGATTCAAGCCTACCCAAGAATCTTTGGCCAGAGGCAGTGGCAGCGGCAGTGTATTTGGTTAACCGCATGCCTACCAGGATGCCCGACGGCAGGTATATTATCCCATGGGTTGAAGCTATGCAACACAGGGACCCTTCGCAGGATCTGCGCCCAAACCTCTCGAATCTCCGATTGTATGGATGCAGAGCGTACGTGATGCGCCAGGGAATTGCCAAATCTGATAAGATGGAGCCGCGCGCTGAGATTGGATATTTGGTTGGATATGTTGCATCGAATATTTGGAAGATCTGGCTGCCTCAATTGAACCAAGTCAGGGAGTTCAGAGATGTTGTTTTTGACGAGAATATACAATATAATCCCTCTGAAAATGCCGTGCCGATCGCACCAGCAATTCATGATGTTGGATATTGGGATACCGAGGTAAACGACTCGAATCGAAGACACTCGAGAGATGAAGAATTTTTCGCGGATTCAGTGGAACAAAATGCTCCCGCACCTGAACATTCCAAGAAGCAAGCTATTCACGATAATAGCACACGTGTTATGGAGAGAACACCACCTCCTATGATAACACCTTTGCCAACGCCTACTCCAGCTGCTTCACCCAATGAAGTTCCTGGTGCATTTCCCACCGAATCTCGGCCTATTCGTCATGAACCTGAGGGGGCGGGGCATCATACAAGCGATACTGTACAGCAGCTTCATACCGAATTGAGCAGCACCCCGCCATCGAATCCTCCACCAGGATATCGCCTACGAGGAGAAGTGGCACCTAGAAACATCGACTCATCTCTCTCAAGAAGCAATATCATCGAAGGAAAGAGAAAAAGGGCTCATTTCGCAGCAATGGAGGAACTAATTGAGCCAACTGAGTTAATTGAAGAGGATGAGATTCATGATGGTGTCCTTTTGGCCTTTAGTGCGGGTCTGACTCAGCAGAAACCCCACCGAGAGGATCTTCCCCCTGAACCAAAAACCTGGTCTGAGATGTTGAGGCACCCACATCGTGATGGATTTATACATGCTGCCTCAGTGGAAGTCAAAGGCCTTGAATCGAAATCGACCTTTAGAGAAGTGGACAAACCGAATGACAAGGGACTTCAAATCCTTCCGTTGACGTGGGTTTTTACCTACAAATTTGACAGTGACGGATACTTGGTCAAGTATAAGGCCAGAATCTGTGTCCGCGGAGATCTCCAGAAGTTGTCGACCGAGGAAAAGTATTCTGCTACACTAGCAGTGCGAACCGCGCGGGCTATCTTTGCCTTTGCCGCGAATTTTGACCTAGATATTCGTCAGTATGATGCTGTTAATGCATTTCTCAACAGCAAGCTTGAGGATGATGAGGAGGTCTATGTTGAGCTCCCACCTGGTATGTTTCCTAAAGGAAGAAGGTGTTGGAAGCTTCAGAGGGCCCTGTATGGCCTTCGCAAATCGCCAAGGATGTGGCAGAGAGAAGCATCAAGGGTTTTGACTGCACTCGGATTCAAGGTAGTGCAGGAAGATCTCTGCATGTTCGTCCGGAATAGCATTATTGTCGTATTTTATGTTGATGACATTCTTATTGTGAGCCCACGAGATGCACGGGAGGAGGCAGATGATGTTGCCAAAGGCCTCAGCGATGCCTGGGAGCTGCGTTCTATGGGTGAAGCACAGTGGTTTTTAGGCATTCGTATCCTTCGGGACCGCCAAAAAGGCATAATCTGGCTATGCCAGGATGCTTATATCTCAGCAATGGCGCACCGATATCATTTGACCCAGGAACGACGCATTGATACTCCTCCAGTCTCCATTGCCACATTGAAACCGTATAACGGCACTGCCTCGGATGCGCAAAAACACGAATACATGAGCAAGGTTGGATCTGCCCAATTCCCGGCAATTGTCACTCGCCCAGATGCGGCCAAGGCCACTGCCCATCTTGCTCAATTCCTTGCAAATCCTTCGCCAGAGCATATTCATGCTATCAATTCTGTCATCGTCTTTCTCTATCATACGAGAATGAGGGCCATTTGCTTCAAGAAGCAGTCAATCCCTCCTAAACCATCCGTTCAATTCTTCAGTGATGCATCATTCGGTGATAATCTAGATCGCAAATCATCTGCTGGATATATCTGTATGATATTTGGAGGACCTGTCGATTGGAAGGCCTCGAAACAGAAGACTGTTACCACAAGCACTACTGAAGCAGAATTATTGGCTTTGTCAGAAGCAGGCAAATCTCTTTTCACGTGGAAGCGCCTTTTCGACGCTATTAAGTTCAATCCTGGTCACCCTGTCGCTTTGCAATGTGATAATCAGCAAACTATAGGGCTTTTGACGAAGGAATTGCCTCAATTGCACACCAAGCTGCGACACATTGACATTCACCAGCATTGGCTACGTCAAGAGGTACAAGCTGGACGAATCCCTATCGAATGGGTAAAGACTTCTGAGATGGTCGCAGATGGTCTTACGAAGCTCCTTCCTCGCCAGAAGCACGTTGAATTTGTGAAGTTGCTTGGTATGGAAGAGATTGGTCATCTTGTTGAAGAGTTCAATTGAGCTCGTCCATTCATTTGTACAGCAAAATCCCCATACAGTAGGATCTTGCTGAGGGGGTGTGTCAGGAAAATGGTGATCAGCATCGTATTGACCCAAACGGTACCTCTGGGATTCTAGAGGATTCGATACCAGGTATTCTCGAGGCTATTTCAACCCCCTCGATCCCAGTAGATAGGAGAGGAATCAACACTCTTTTGATCTCATCGTTTTGGGTAGTTCCCTTTTTTGATTCCGTTGCGCCAATCGCCTAGTACATCCATTGTATTTCCCTAGCTATACAGGATATTCCTGTTAATTATAAATACTGGGAGGGCGCAAGGTAAGCTGCCATCAATGCGCTTCTTCACTGTGGGTAATTTACTAAAGCCAAATCTGCTCTTAGGCCTACTTTGCCAAAACACCGATGCCATCATGTTGGGCAGAGTCATCCTCGCAGCGGCGTTAATGCTGAATCCCACCGGAGGCCTCGCTACGCCGGCCCCAGATCTCGTGGGCCTAGAGAAACTCTGGTCCTACGGGCACTCGGAGCCTGTCTACCCGACATGTATGTATCCCACTATAATTTCCTTTCAAACTCCTCTAATCCGAATCTAGCCGAGACCAGAGGCTTAGGGAACTGGACAAACGCATATGCTCAAGCCAAGAAGCTGGTAGCTCAGATGACCGCCGAAGAGAAGAGCAATGTCACGTACGGATATGCTTCAACCAGTAATGGCTGCTCTGGAAACTCGGGCAGTGTTCCGCGGCTCGGGTACCCTGGAATCTGCCTACAGGACGCAGGCAATGGGGTCCGTGGCACCGACATGGTGAACAGCTACGCCTCGGGCATCCACGTCGGCGCATCGTGGAACCAGCAGCTCGCCTATGATCGGGCAAAAGAAATGGGGAGGGAGTTCAAGAGGAAGGGGGTGAATGTCGCGCTCGGACCTGTAGTGGGCCCTTTGGGTCGTATCGCTCGAGGTGGCCGGAACTGGGAGGGCTTTGGCAATGACCCGTACCTCTCGGGGGTTTTAGCAGGCGTTACTGTCCGTGGACTACAAGAGTCTGTGATAGCATGTGTCAAGCATTTCATTGCCAATGAGCAAGAGACCAGTCGCAACCCGCCCTTACTCACCCCGGGTGCGCTCAATCAGTCGGTGTCATCGAACGTGGACGATAAAACACTACACGAGCTCTATCTCTGGCCCTTTCAAGATGCCGTCAAAGCTGGGGTCGGGTCCGTGATGTGCAGCTACAACCGGATCAATAACAGCTACGGGTGCCAAAACAGCAAGACGATCAACGGTCTTCTGAAAGGCGAACTGGGGTTCCAAGGGTTTGTCGTTTCCGACTGGTACGCGCAGCATAGTGGTATATCGAGTGCTGCCGCTGGATTAGATCTAGCCATGCCAGACTCGCCATACTGGGCTAAAGGTTCGTTGGCCGCTGGCGTTCGCAATGGTTCACTCTCGTCGAGTCGGCTGGACGACATGGCCAAGAGAATCCTAGCGGCCTGGTACAACTACGCCGAGTTGGACCACCCCGGTTCGGGAATGCCTGTCAGCCTGCTGGAGCCACATGAGCTAATAGATGCTCGGGATCCGGCATCGGAGAAGACCCGTTTCCAGAGTGCCGTTGAAGGCACGTGCTGGTGAAGAACGTAGGGGGTGCCCTCCCGCTCCGCAAGCCCAAGTTCGTTTCGCTCTTCGGCTACGATGCCGTGGCCGCGCCACGTCACATGCCCGATCAGCTCCCATTCAGTCTCTGGTCGATGGGCCTCGATAACAGTCTCGTGTATCCGAATGGGTCGGCGATCGATGACGCCGCTCTAATGTCGATCTTCACCTCTAGCCGTCAACCCAGCGATTATGGCCCTGGCGTGGCCTTGAATGGGACTCTTTTCTCTGGTGGAGGGTCGGGGTCAAACACTCCATCCTACATCGATGCACCGTTTGATGCTTTCCAGCGACAGGCCCGACGTGATGGGACGTTTTTGGCGTGGGACTTCGTATCGGCCGCCCCTCGCGTGAACCCTGCGAGCGACACTTGTGTCGTCTTTGTGAATGAGCAGTCGTCCGAAGGTTGGGACCGTCCATCCTTGGCCGACGCATACTCCGATCGGCTCGTCGAGAACGTCGCAGACCAATGTGCCAATACCATGGTCGTGATCCATAACGCCGGTGTCCGTCTTGTTGACCGCTGGGTGGATCATGCGAACATCTCGGCTGTCATTTATGCGCACCTCCCCGGCCAGGACACCGGTGGTGCCTTGACCGAGGTGATGTACGGGAGACAGTCTCCGTCCGGTCGCCTCCCTTACACTGTTGCTAAGACGGAAACCGACTACGGCTCACTCCTCGATCCAACCGTCCCTGTGGGTGATTCGAACGCCTATTACCCCCAGGATAACTTTTCAGAAGGAGTCCTGATCGATTACAGAGCCTTTGAGGCAACCGGTATCTCTCCGCGCTTCGAGTTTGGCTACGGACTCACCTACACTACCTTTAAATATTTCGACCTACGGATTACGGCGCAGAAGGCACCGAGCAGGGAATACCTCGCCCCAGGTATTAGTATCGATGAAGGCGGCTTATCCTCACTCTGGGACGTGGTTGTCGCAGTTAAATTCACTGTTGAAAACACCGGGGCCGTGGCTGCAGCCGAGGTACCACAGCTTTACGTCGGAATCCCAGGCGGGCCAGCTAAGGTTCTACGGGGGTTCACCAAGCAGCTTGTACAACCGGGTAAGCGCGCCGCCATAGTGTTTGAGCTCACACGGCGAGATCTTAGTGTCTGGGACGTGGAGGCACAGAATTGGGGGCTACAGCCCGGCCCGTACGCTCTCTATGTGGGGAAAAGCGTCCGAGACATCCAGCTCACGGGGACATTGGCTCTTTGATTATGCTACATTCAAGGCGACAGGCTTCTTTGGTATGGATATAAAGTGGTGGTTTAGGATATCTGATTGAGCGCCACATTTACAGTGGAATTCGAAATCAAATTTAACTCTTAAACTCTTACGATTTAATTCCCGGACCCTAAGCGGAGCACGCTAATCTATATTTAGCTCTTCCCCTGTCAATCCATGTAGGGTTGTATCTATTCACTGGTAACCACAATGAGTCATTATTATAATACCGTAATTTCTTGTATAAAACCGACGGAATCCGTCGCGCAAACAGAACAAATAAAAAGAGAATCCTATCAATCTGGCAAGATCTTCTTCCATTCTCATATCTTGGTCTATTTGTCACGCGCAGCCTTCGCCCACACTCTTTTGTATCCAAAAGAAGGCTGTAGTTACGCCATAGCAAACTTATCCGGGTACACAACTTGTTTGCCTCTAGCTTTGGCTTCTGTAATCCACTGCGATTCTCATCTGTCAAAACAAGTCCGAAGGAGATCCGGTACCTAGGGAAGCTAACATGGACCCCCCAGGCAGATGCTGAGGGCCCCAAATTCTTCATAACATGAACCAGATGTAAATATATATAACACTGCTCTACTAACAGTTAATAAACAACCCATTTATTTAACAACACATTTCTCAATTATTAATTAATTGAACATCACGTTGCGTACACTTTAACTCACTCACCTGTAAAACATCGGGCTTCGCCCCCCAGGCAAAGCCTGGGGCCCCCCAAATGAATCCCACCAACACTTCCATGTTGATACACATATACATCTGTCAAAACACGTACTCGTTCCACTCCTCACAAATCGTGCCAAACCTTCCAAACGCCCGCATCCAACAACGGTAACGTTCCAAAACAATCACTTCCGCCGGGTATAACCAGCTCAGCATTATAATACTTCTTGAATTCTTCGAAGTCGACAACTGGAGAGATCTCAAACCAACGACAGAGGTTGCCTGTCACACTAAAGGCGTTTCTCGCCTCCAGAACACCCAAATCGATATCCTGGCGAACACTAACCAGAACATGGTAATAAATTGATCCATTTTTATGCCGCTCACGGCGACCATAAAACAAAGCTTTGCTGAAGCCCTCACGTTTTAGCATATCGCTAAACGCTTTCTCAAACTCGTCTTTCGACTCGATGGAACACGCAAAATACTCCAATAAAACAAATCGATCACGGAGACGAGGGTCATCCTCCGTCGTATGTAACGAGGGGACCAACTCGGTCCCCTTTGCCCCCAAGACTTCGTAGGGTCATACTTCAAGTAAGCGTCATACCTGACGCGAAACCCAGGTTTCGTAGCATTACTTGCCCTTTCAAACGGCCCAGAAGTCATTTTGTAACTGTATTTTTATTCATAAAACTACTCCCTCACGGCGCGGCGAGAACGCCGTACTTATACTTCGTATTAGGCTGTATCAGCCTAAGTAGGAGCAGGGTTCTATTTCCCCCGCCTGATTTTCCGATTTCACTTTCCTAAATCAGTCTTTCTGCTTTGAGTTTTCTAAATTGGGTTTTCTAAATTGGTGTTCTAAATTTATTTCGATTGTTTGATCTAGAGTGTCGAGTAAACTAGTCGCATTCTTAGAGTGATCAATTTAGACGTTCCATTTCTTTGAGCCACTTTAACGGGGATCGGCGTTGCATTTTGATGTTGCGGAATTGCCGAGGGCGTATTGTCTAGTATAGATTTAACGAAGTTACTATTGCACAGTATTGTTTGATTTTGGGCGTTACTACGCAGCCATGGAAATCACTAAAGAGCTATAATGAGGTTATTCCTACTACATTGAGTATAGTAAAAACACAGGCTTGGCACTCCGAAGATCAGGGCATAAGGTACTTCCATTTACTATGGCCACCTAGTTAAATGACCCGTATCACCAATCTCGTGCATCCTATAGCGGTGCGAATAGCGAGGGTGAAGGTGGCATTCCCTAGGGCGACTATTTGAAGGGAAGGAACGAGCCAAGAGCGAGCTCAGCTGCTGTGTAAGGACCAGGAGACGGAGTGGCGAAGAAACAACGAAATTTGCTCTACCGTGGAATCCTGTCGCTACTTACGTCAGGTGGAAAGTGTCACTCTGATAGTCGTGGCTCGATGGCTCACGCCATGCGTGTCGATAGGGTGGCATGCGACGGACTGTCGTAGTAGACCGTTTCCTATCATCCGTTTGTAGTGGTGTCAATAAAGGTATGAAACCGAGACCAGATAATCAATAGAACGAATGTAATATATATTGAGAGCTGGGGAATTGCCCCACACCATAACTGCATGGGTTGTTACCTTCAGTGTTCAAGTTGCCGTGGGAGCCCACCATTATTGTCGTTGTGACGTTCCCAAATTGATTCCTATTTTCGGCTTTTCCTTGATTCATTTTTGAATAGAATTTTCTCTAATATAGAGTTCTGTAATTAGATTTTCTTTCCATAATTGATTCTACCAATGCCTAGCCATTCGCCGCCGAAAATTTAGAATAACTTCATTTAAGTCGGTTATCATCCCTCGCTGATAGCTACTAATCTGATCTCACTTCCAAGTATCTGTATTTGAGTCATGATTTCACTGCCTGACCGATCTCAAGCACAATTTGGTAGCCCCAGTGCCGAATACTTCCGGGACCGCAGCTTGATGAATATATCGAACCATCTTCTGAGCGAGGACAAGACCTCGAACCGGATCGATGAGAAAGGAATGTCTGCTATGCATTGGGCAGCCTCTTGTGGAAATTTAGACATTATTCGCCAATTCTCACAGAAGGATTTATGGATGACCTTTCACAGAGATAATGCCGGCAGGGTGCCATTGGATTGTGCGGCGGAAAATAACGAAACCGAAGTTGTAAGAGAATTAGCCCCCCACACTGTAATTGATATGGGGGACAAGAGGGGACGAACAGCCCTTCATTGGGGCGTGTTGAAAAGCAACGAGGAAATTGTTGCCCTCCTGCTGGCAAAAGACTTTGCACCCAACCCTTGGAACAGCTTCCAAAATCCTACCTCGCCCCCGCTTCCGTCTGCTTGGGTTGATTCGCAGATGGAATCAGGGGACACTGCATTGCACCTGGCAGCTGCACGTGATTCTCCAAAGATTCTTTCTTTGCTGGTAAAGGCATGCGACCTCAGGCTTGAGGATTTGGAAGGAAAGACAGCTCTCGAAATAGCTTTGCTTAGCGAGCACGAAATTAATGCGAAAATCATACTTGGGGAGATGGCGCGGCGTAACGTGAAGGGGAGATTTGGATCAAGTGCTCTAAAGATCGTGAAAAAGTGGCCCGATGACAGAGAGTCCTGGAATGGCGAGGTGCTCTGCTGGGCAGCTTTCAATGGGTTTAAGAAAATTATCACACGTATGCTCAAGGCCACGCCCATATTGGGCTTTATCGCTCGGGATCCCTCTGGCAGAACAGCGCTTCAAGCTGCGGCAGAGCAGGGCCATCTTCAAATAGTCAAACTTTTGCTCAAAAGAAGAGCAGACGTCAATGCCCCACCCGGAACGGCCCATGGTCGAACTGCCCTTCAAGCGGCAGCAGAACACGGCCATCTTGAAATCGTTGAACTCTTGCTTAAAAGCAAGGCGAAGATTAATGCTCCTCCTGCCCAGACCTATGGCCGTACCGCCCTTCAAGCCGCAGCAGAACGGGGCCACTATGACATGATAAAGCTGCTCCTTTCTAAAGGAGCAGATATCAATGCCTTGCCTGGACCTAGCTATGGACGAACAGCCCTTCAGGCCGCAGCAGAACGGGGCCATTATGACATGATAAAGCTACTTCTTTCTAAAGGAGCAGATATCAATGCCTTGCCTGGACCTAGCTATGGACGAACAGCCCTTCAGGCTGCAGCAGGACAGGGCCATCTTGAGATTGTCAAGCTGCTTCTATCCAAGGGAGCTGAAATTAACGCTCTCCCGGCATCTATCTATGGCCGGACGGCCGTTCAGGCTGCGTCAGAGCGGAGAGATACTGGCATGGTTGAGCTGCTTTACTCTAGAGGAGCCAATGTCAATGCCTTGCCTGGCGAAATATTTGGCCGTACAGCCCTTCAAGCTGCGGCAGACCAGGGGTATCTTGAAACGGTCAAGCTACTACTATCCTATGGAGCCGACATCAATGCCGCGCCTGGGCTCACCAACGGCCAAACTGCCCTTCAAGCCGCGGCAGGACAAGGATATCTCGAAATGGTCAAGCTGCTTCATTCCAATGGCGCCCAAGTAAATGCCCTGCCTGGAAAAATCTTTGGTCGAACAGCCCTTCAAGCGGCGGCAGAGCAAGGCCATCATGACATGATAAAGCTTCTTCTTTCCTATGGAGCAGAGATCAATGCGCTGCCTGGACACACATATGGCCGAACCGCCCTCCAGGTTGCAGCAGAACGGGGCCACCTTGGTATTGTCACGCTGCTTTACTCTAGAGGAGCTGAAGTCAATGCCTCACCTGGGGAAATCTTTGGCCGTACTGCGCTTCAAGCTGCCGCAGAGCAAGGCTATCTTAAAACGGTCAAGCTACTGCTTTCCTATGGAGCAGACATCAATGCCGCGCCTGGACTCACCGAGGGCCGAACTGCCCTTCAAGCCGCATCGGAACAAGGATATCTTCGAATCGTTAACCTGCTTCACTCCAATGGCGCACAAACCAATGCCCCGCCTGGAGGAGCCTTTGGACGAACAGCCTTTCAAGCTGCCGCAGAACAGGGAGATCTAACCATGGCAAAAGTGCTCCATACCATTGGAGCGGACATCAATGCGCCGGCTGGACACACCAGCGGCCGAACTGCGCTTCAAGCCGCAGCAGGGCGGGGCCATTATGCCATGATAAAGCTGCTTCTTTCCTATGGAGCAGAGGTTAACGCCTCGCCTGGAACCATCAAGGGCAGAACCGCTCTCCAAGCTGCTGCAGAGAATGGGTATCTAGGAGTGGTCAAACTGCTTCTCTCCCATGGAGCCGAGATCAACGCCTCGCCTGGGACGGCCCACGGCCAAACCGCCCTTCAAGTGGCAGCAGAAAACGGCCACTATGAGATGATAGAGCTACTTTACTCCAATGGGGCAGACATCAATGCGCTGCCTGGGCACACTGACGGCCGAACCGCCCTTCAAGCCGCAGCAGAACGGGGCCACCTTGGCATCGTAAAGCTGCTTGTTTCCTATGGAGCAGAGATCAACGCCTTGCCTGGACCCACCAATGGCCGAACTGCCCTTCAAGCTGCAGCAGGACAGGGCCAACTTGAGATCGTCAATTACTTGCTTGAAATCAAAGCAGATGTTAATGCATCGCCAGCCGCTGTCGGTGGCCGAACGGCCCTTCAGGCCGCAGCGGAACGGGGCCAACTCGAAATGGTAAAGCTGCTTGTTTCTCATGGAGCGAATCCTAATGCATCCCTTGCGCACACCAACGGCCGAACCGCCCTTCAAGCCGCAGCCGAGGAAGGCCATATTCCGATAGTCAAATTTTTGCTTGAAAGTAAAGCAAATGTCGACGCGTCGCCTGCCCCATTCGATGGCCGAACGGCCCTCCAGGCAGCGGCGGAACGGGGCAAACTTGAAGTTGTAAAGCTACTCCTTTCTCATAACGCAAACATCAACGCCACTCTTGCACCTACGAATGGTCGGACAGCCCTTCAAGCTGCAGCAGAGCAGGGCAATCTGGAAATGGTACAGCTGCTCTGTTCTCATAGGGCAGATGTCAATGCCCCCCGGCAGTTTTCCGTGGTCGGTCCGCCCTTCAAGCTGCAGCAGAGCAGGGTCATTCTAAAATGGTGACACTGCTTCTGTCTAAGGGCGCCAAGGTCGATGCCTCGCCTGCACAGAACCATGGCCGAACATCCCTTCAAGCCGCAGCGGAAAAGGGCCATCTTCGCATCGTACGGCTGCTTCTTTCATATAGAGCAGGAATCAATGCCCCACCAGGGATCACCGGAGGCCGAACAGCCCTTCAGGCCGCAGCTGAACAGGGCCATCTTCCAGTGGTGCAGATGCTTCTTTCCTGTGGAGCTGACATTTATGCCTCAGGTACACCTATCGAAGGCCAAACCGCCCTCCAGGCCGCAGCAAATCAAGGTCATCATGACATAGAACGCGTGCTTCATTCCTATAAAACGGAAACGAATGCCCAATATACTCTCTACCTTAGCTAACAGCTTTCGAAACACAGTAAAAATAAAGCCACTTACTCTAGTACCAACCACTTGAATATCACTGTCTTTCCCGAGCTTAATTCTGTATAATAATGGGGTCAGGCTACCTGGGGGATATAGCACGTTAGAAGTACTGGTTTCTTAAAAGCATTGAACTCCCCATTCTCCATGATTATCAAGCTCTTCCGCACTTATTGTCGCGTCTATTCAATTGGATACATATCGCAGGTTGGAGCTTTACGAGGCTTTAGCTGAGATAAATGATAGATGAGCATTGTCTGCTCACGTTGCTGCCGCAATGCCTAAGGCCATCATGAATGAAGTCTTCAGCATCTCGCTGTTTTAGAGCTTCCGTCGTGGATTGTGACGTAAATGCATAGCATGTACAGTAGCGCCCGAGATCGCCTTCCATGTCGGAAACAGAAAGATTCTCTTTCCAACCCTAATCGCACGATCCGCTAAACCGGATTTGGTTATTCTCGTATTTTAAAATACGTTCCGATGTTGTACGGAATAAAGTCAAACGAACGAGAGCTGTATGTACAAATCTAATTTGGGTTACACCCACTCTGCAGCGAACGAAATTAGTGTTGACGTCATAGTACTCAAGGCTTCTTAAGGGAAGACAGTATAGAATGATTTACGGTAAATTCGAGTTAAACTTGACCTACATTCAGCTACATCAATCATGGGGTTTCCAAATCTTCAACCAATATTGCAAAGCCTTCTGGATTCAGGCAGATACTCAGACCTGACGATATCATGCGAAGGACAGAAGTTCCAGGTACATCGTGCGATAGTCTGTTCCCAATCACCCTTTTTTGACGCTGCAGTCAAAGGAGGATTCAAAGTAAATGCGACAAGTCTTTGCCGTGACCGTTGCATATGGATAACGTTTTTACAAGGAAGCTTCTCTATCCCATGTTGATCTACCAGATGACGAGCTAGCAACTATTCAACGGGTTGTCTCTTTTCTATACCTTCAAGACTACGAAGACACAGATAGGTCGCACTTTCAAAATCGAAAATGCCCTTCTGGTATTGATATGGAACCTCATGCAGCTATGTGGAACAACCTCGGAGTGTTCATGGCGGCCGACAAGTTTGACATATCGTGTCTGAAAACCCTCGCGAGATCTCGAATTATGGATTGGATCGACAAAAATGCAAAAAAATCTCCATTGATTGTGCGAGAAATCTGGATCACCATTCCGCCTCTTGAGACAGAGCTTCGAGACGCCATAATTAAGTCAATTTCATGCAACGCGCAGGAGTTCCTCACCTACAATGAAAGTATGGTGATTATGACGGATATACCAGATGTTACGATTTCAGTGCTTAAAAGAATCGTGGAGGAAAATTCTTCACTCAAACTCAAACTTCAACAGCAGAAGAAAACTGTGCGATATCCAGATAACTGGATGCGGGATCAGATTTGATATGTATGTGTACTGTATATACATTTCCACTTGCAAGACTTGCAAGACATGATCACGTCGCCTCAAATATATGTCAATTCTCGATCACCAAAAGCCCACCGGCTCTATCTGAAAATGGCTCAATGTCCCTGCTTCAGTGCCCCGGACTTCCGAAGAGGGGAGAGTGCAGTCTGAAGAGGGGAGAATGCAGTCGATAATAGACCGTGATTCTGCTTGAGGTGATCCCACATTAAATTCGTCGGAACCATAACTGCGATGATTATTCAATCTCCGAGAAGAGCTGCAGTCAAAGCAATATAACAGAAATTAGTGACCAACATTGTATGGGTTCTCCAACGGTAATATTAAACTCTCTCTCTAACTAAAAACTATGAACTTGACAATTTTGTAGGATATGCTGACAAAGACTAATATGCACTTTTATGTGAGGTGTCTGATTTGATGTCGTAAGATATTCTGGGTAAATACCCAGAAATCCACACGCAGATCCACCATATTTCTGACACAATATCAAATATGTGCATTGATTTGTCCAGGCCTCCCGGGGCGCCTGCTAAAACTGACATGGTAACGACGAATATGCTTAGTCGTATTTTGGAGGACCACCAGATCTTCCGCATGTTCCGTACATACCCACATTTCGCTGATATCTCGAGTATTGGGCTGTGGATGGCGGCAAAATTGTATGATCATTCACTTACTGCTGAAGAAATTGATTGCTGTGGATGCAGAATCTCAAAAAGTGAACTAGCCTGGCAGGGCGACAAACCATTTGGACATGTCCTTTTTCTCTTTTATGAATGGGTAGGACTACCCAATACAAAATTTTGATAACATCATGACTACGTAAGCTCTACTACAGCTTTAAAGAGTCGGATTTTTTCATGACATAGATTGGTATCAATCTCATAATCTCATAATTCGTGAAATGTAGTTTCTGCACTGGCTTATAATCAATCTTACCATTACACCTCTCAAGGCTAGAGTTGTATGTAAAAGGCTACGTACTGCATTATTACCTGGTAGGACATATTTCTCTGGGGTTCCAGGTTTCTACGTATAGGATCCCTATACCCTTCTTACAGGTATCAATAGCCAGTGTTGTGCTATTACATGTCATTACCAAACAATGTACTTTACAGTATCATGTGATTAGGACTTGGAAGAGCAGCTCTATGATCCCGGCATAGAAGGCAATGTCGGGCGCCACTGTACTGTCAGTCAAACTGTATACCATGTCATAGTGTTCCACATTACAACATTCTTATTGCCGCTCACTCAATTCCCATCGGTCCCGCTTGTGTACATATGCTGATCAAAACTATCCCAGCGGAGAGGATTTCTCTATCAGAGAACCAACAAAGTTCTCAGTACATTCTAATGGGTACTCATAATTCATTTATATCAAATTACATATTTTTACTATAGACTAATATGCGGTACCTACTAGTCTAAAAGACCGCGATCATGTCTTATACATTTTTGCTAAAAGATATCTTACAGTGTTTGGTATGGTTCATCAGGGAAACTTCTCGGTTCGCACTGAAGGTGAGGTGGCAAAGTATTATTTTAAGTTAGGCAAGGTACATAAACAGACCGAATGCAGGGGAAGCACTTTGTAATAATCACATTTGACATGCATCGACTCTATACATCCGTCACATCCAAGTACAGTAGTCCCCCGGGCAATTTTCAACCTAGTCGGTACTATAAAAATATTCAAAATCCATGTTTGACAAAAGCAATTTTCTAGTGAATTCCCGCTGTAATGGCCCTACCCCTTCGGAGTATAGGTTACCGTGAATGTTTTTCGGAGCTCTAAATATAAATACCCTATAACGGGCGAAACGTTGATATCCAAGACATGCATTATCCAAGACTGGAACTATATTGCATAGTATTCTACTGAATAACCCAACATGCTTATATCTATATTTAGTCTGTGTGATGCTCATAATTATCCATCCATATGTCGTTTCAACCTTTTAAAATCCAAGCTGTTCATGGTGATATTTCGTTATATTAACAATGACTAGCATTTTTAAGAACCAGTCTCCCATCAAAATCAATCAGGTGTATACTCTACTCCTAGAAATGGAAGAAGGGTTCGAACATATACGTAAACACCTCAACAACTTAAGATACCTGGCGGATTCCCAGAACCGACTCCACCAACAGCTTGTCATAAATCGATATTCAAGACGAACAAGGCTGTATGAGATTTGCGAATCATTTCGTGGTAAGATCAAGGTGCCATAGTCATCACCACCTGTATCGTAATATGAAGTCACCTTTCGCAAACTTAAAACTTACAATAGCCCTCTCTCAATGGTCCTATCTCAAAACAATCTTCGGACGTAGAGAAGGATCCGCGGAAGAAGCTCTGGAGATCTTCTGTTCTAGGTTGTCTACTAGAAGAAAGCAATGACCGTGGGAGAACCACCAACAGATGATCAAGGAAATCAAAAGCTTGATTCGCTATAATTTCCAGTATCTTCATAGGAAGGGCTATTTGTTGGAATAATGGGGGAGTTCGTGGCGTCTCAATGAACTGGTTTCACCATACCTTTTCAGTTCTATGGATACGGGAGCAAGCAAGGGAGGGACGTCTAAGCTTCAACGCAAATATGTCAGGTTAGTTTTCTTGGTACAATATACCAAGCATGACTAGTTCATGTTATCATATCTGAGACTATTTGCGTACCCCCTGTAACGTATGTATACCGTAGCGAGCGGAGTAACCGTGGCGAAGTATTGCAGAGGTACTTCCCTCAAGGACCAGGAAATATCCATCACCCTCATCTGTTAATTCATCAAATTCATCAGACAGTCATTTTGCTATCTGCTATTCACCGCGGCCGAATCAGCATCAAAAATGAGTCTAATAAACTGTGATAAGCGAAACTTGACCCCTCCAATCCCCACTAGATCGCGAATGTGTCACTCATACGTTGTAGACATCTGACGCTCCTTTCTACTCCGTTTCCAAAACAAAATAAGCCGAGACTAATTACTCCAGCAATAATATGTACATATCACTATATAAAAATCTCTGATAATCCGTTCATCTTCGTGCCGGTACTTCTTACAATATATTTCGCGAGTCATGTAAGATGCTATATTACAGACCATGTATTGTAACTGTATGATACAATACCGAGTGATAGGAGATACCCTGATCCGTTAAATCCAAATATGGCGACTAGCTTTGTCGGGCCAAAAATAACTATTGCTGGCATCCCGATCCAGGAGCGTTTACCACTCCCGCATTGTTTGGGAATCCTGGAATCCTCGTTGAGGTTGATCCAGTGACTACCGTATTTTAGACCTGGCACTCACCCGCCCCGTGGTCCAAGGTCAGGAACCTCCACCCGCACCTCAGAGGACCCTGAGACTCCGAGGGTCCCTTGAGGGTCACCCGCAAATACCCGATCGTATTAAGTTGATGACTAAGCTAACAGACACCTTAGTTATAATGGGAAGAAAGTCACGCTACAAAGTCACGTTCTTAGACAGAATTTATCACGTGAGGACGGCACCTCTATATCCAACCCTCAGTCAGGGTCGAGATGTGGGACCCTCCACCCTCCGTGGGGCGGTGTGGGGTGGAGGGTCCGGAGGGTCTACGAATTCCATCCTAGCAACTAGTCAGGTGACGCCCCGCCGACTTCTTCCTGGTAAGTATCTCTCCGCTCGGATCTCCTCTCGACCACGGCTATCCCCTATTTTCCAGGATAACTTCAATTACGGCCTCATCCTGTGTAGGCGAATATTGATTTGAATATTGTCAAACGAGCTGGAGCAGCTTCGAAAAGTGGGGTGGACTTCTTCCCCTTCCCAGCCGTGCAGAGGAACCCGCTGACAATGATCAGTCCAGTTACCCTTCCGTATGTTCAAATACTTTATTGCAGTAAAATTGCAAAATCCAAGAGTACGTTATCTAAACTTCACATGTTAATTGTTATATTAACTTTAACCCTATAGTGCCACGAAAAGTCGAATTTTTATGCCTTGGCTGTGGAGACATCTATTCCATATATGTCGGAAACAGCGGATTGGGTATATCTGGTGTCTGGGCATATCTTCGGAATCTTATGTTTAATAAAGCCGTCGGGGCTTTTTACACACATGTACAAGTTGCCACAGCATAAATCAATCAATCGAACCTCCGGGAGGGCATCCTTCCAGCGCTGTCAAGAAGGGGTTAATCGATCATGTCAAGGAATCTACTATTTCATCGGACGGAAGTATAAAGTCTTTTGTTGATGTGACTAAGAAATTGGCGTTGGAACATTGGCGTGCCCAAACACTAGGATGAAAACATCTGGGTGTTCTTGTTCTGGACCTAGTGCTGGGTACTCAACTCGATATAAGAAATGTACGTGGCTCAGTTGTCCTGTTCTGTTGGCAATACCACATCCCCCACCGTTATTGACCTGCTACCCGGGGCGTTTCTCCCACTGCTCTCGCCTTCCTTTGTGGAAACTACCGCATATCTGCCAAAACAAATCCTACTATCGGCCCTTCGCAACTTGAGCAGCGCAGTGGAAGACTGGTCAACGCACAGCATCTGACAGCGCTCGCAAGGGTCAACAGTATCGAAGCGAAGCTGGTCATGACCAATGCGAACGGATGACCAGTGATCTTCGGCGTAGGGGCGTTCGGCGCGTGCTGGCTGAGAGATCCGCTCTGCAACGATGATATTGCCGTTAAAGCATTCTGAAGGAATTACCTTGCTAGTGCCAGAGTTACGCTTGGTAATTGCAACGCTTATTTCGTTGAGACGGTTGATTGACGATCTGGAGACGATCAAAACAGACATTTCGTTGGATACGAGCACGTATTGTTGGCCAATTTCGCTCGGCATTCCGGCCCCGCGCGAGAATGGCTCCAATCTATTTAACTTCCGGAATCGATTCTTCCAGATACTTGCAAGATTTGGTGTCTTTATGTCGAGACTTGCATCCAGTGAAGAAAGTCGCGCCAGAGTACAAGATACACCTAAAATGCGTGTAAAGAATGCTGAGACCACTGGCGAGCCGTAAGATCGAAGGCACAAGTTACTATCGTAGGCACTGGGTCGACAACTCGAACGTACTGGAGAGGACATGGCATTGGTACTCATACCGTCCCACGCCAGAGGAATTTTGAGGCTTAATTGACCATTTGGAGCCTTTGGGTTGTAGGTGATGCGAAGTTCTCCGCTGTCGATATCAACCGAGGGATGTATTAGAGCCATCTGAGGATATTCATGCTGCTTGAAGAGAGAACCGGTCCTTTGATGAACGAGGTACCATTCTCGGTCCCAAGCCAGCCCTTCTCTTTTGACCTCCCACCGCTTGCCTTCCGGAATCTTGAAGGCAGCACAACCATTGATAGGAAATACCATCAAACTCTCAACATAGAATTGAGGACTTGCTCTGTTGGCGTAGTCAAGATAAGTCGTTCCTATAATGGAAGAGGGTAGTCAGCACAGATGAGTCCTGTAATTTGACCCACTAGGCCATACCATTAAAAAAAGGATACTCCTGTCCATGAGTGGCATCCGTATCGGCAAAGTAACCCCGGCAATATTGGGGCCGGACGAATTCCTCCTCATTGCTCTCCATTATAGTCGAGTGGGCGACTAGAATCGAGGAGTATATAGTATTGCGTCTGCGTTGATAGTATGCCGTGCCCTAGGTTAAAGGCGCAAGGGGCAATCGTTTCAATAAGAAAAATAATTACCGCAAAGACAGCGTGGAAGATATTTAAAAGCAGTCATGTAGTCATGTATACCAGGCTAGTTAGAAGGGAAGGGGAAGGAGCATTTGGTGCAACGTACAATTGTGGCTTAATTATCCCCGGCCAACTTCTTGCAAATGGTTTTTTTCTAGTTGCGTCAACTGCGAGGAACCCTGTTAAATGGATGGACTTACTCGAAATTCTCTTTTAATGATCCCTATATTTATTGGGGTCTCGTAAATCACGAGCTACGATCAATCTTTTGTGTGGTGAATACTTGATCGCTCTTGTTATTTATTTTGCCGATCTTGTGGAATGACCGCGAACCACGCGATAGCTGAGTAAAGACCAGTAACAGCCAACGCTTTGACAGCGAGAATAGGAAAAGGAATGCACATTCTCGTGGGGTATCTAGTGGACATTGTGTAGCGGCCGCTGCTGACTTGTGGAAACTGTTGCAAAGGCAGAACTGATGAATGCCGCTTAAATCGATGGCAATGGAAAGTTATGAGGCTTTAAATTACATGATCATATTACGTGAATAACAAATTAAGGAATCATCAATTACGGCAGATTGGGAAGATCACCATGACATCTCTCACCAGTAATGCACAACCAGAGGATAATTTCTCGCTAGATTTAAATGTTATCATCGGAAACCCTAGCGACAAAAGAGAGCTTTCCGGGGCATTTTGCTGCGCTAATAATAGACAAGTCTTCCGGAATTTTGCGCTTCATGTTCTGCAATAGAAGCTGAATTTGGTGTTGTACGGTATCCGGGGTAGTGTGATGCTGCCTGCCATGCACATGGATGTAGTGGACCATATTTTAGTTCTGCTGGGATAGCAGGCCTCATGCTTCCATGAAATGAGCCTGTTTTATATTTTCCTATTAGTCCGTGAGGTTTCTTAGTGAGAGTCGAAAGCAAATTTCCCTCCAGATACACGCAGCGTTTTTCGATTCGTTACTACGCTCATCTACATTTGGACAATCATTTATTTTAAAAATAATTACTAAGTTAGGATCAGCACGTAACGTAAGCTAGTATATTCCACGATCATTTTTTGTAGGTTTCAGCACGCGGAAATACAGTGTCTAACGGAGCTGCTTGCCAAAATCCGTTTTGCCGACAATATCAACAGAGGTTCCCAAGTAATACTCCATTAAGTGGATGTCCGGGGTTGCACTTCAGTTTTCTACTTATACAGAAGGAAAACCGAAAAATAAATTATAAAAATAAAAATAAAAATAAAACCGCTTTATACCAACCAAATATAAAGGTCGTCACAATCACTCATAAACTTATTAGGAGGCCTTGGCTCTACAAAAATCGAAGTTCACTCATCTCCTACCGTTTAACTATCTCTCCATATTTAAATGCGCTATTCGGGTCCTAAAATGCCACGCCGGAGCCAGGTATCTACAACGTTTGGTCGAAACAGGAGATCGCTACCTGAACTACCCCGCTGGAAACTGCGAATGATCTATGATATGATAGTCAGCAAAACACTGTCTGTGGCAGATATGGCAGAAGCGGCGGAATGCAGCGCGGAATCAATAAAAGAAATCTGCCATTTGCTTCAAATCTTAGCCTTCCATGAGGACGAAAATCCTCCCCCGCCATCTGCAACAGTCAATATAAATGTCTTACCAGCAGACTGCTCAACACTTCCATCAATCTCAGTTTCGGCGACATCTCGGTCTGTGAATATTTACGTGACAGGAAATATCACGGTTTCTGTTCCTAAAGAAGGCACCATTGAAAAACAAGAATCATAACCGACATGAGCGCTTTGATGTTGAGACGACCTTCGGCCAAAGTACATTATCGCTCGCAGTGAAGCATGAGCTGAAGCTAGTATGTCCCATCACAGACTCTAATACTAGCATAATAGAATATGGGTGAGGCCCAGGGCCGCAACTCACACTTTCTTAAAGCAACAATCTTTTGGTGGTATATTTCTTATTTGCCGCGACAGAACGCGGCAGACCTTGCTTCGTGGGTTTTGGGATTTTTGGATCTGAGCATAACTCGGAGAAGAAATAAAATCACGCATCATAACAATGCTGTTCTGATGTTGGCTCGGAAAATCTACATTCTCAAGTTATCCTACTTTCCCAGTTGTTTGCGACTCACACTGCGATGTTGTACTTGTCAAATATCAGGCTTTTCCAAAAGGGTTGCGCTTGCTTCCCCTGCATTTTGTAAAATCCGTGTATAGAGGAGCAACATCATCGGAGAATGTCTTATATCAAACACTCCTCAAGCTCTAGCTTTGTTCGTATTCCATAAAAGACCAGCCACGGAAAGTGGGTCTTCGTCTCATTATCTCCAATGTTGGAATCTTCTTCGAAGAGCACGACCGCGGCATTCCCTTCTATTTTGTCACCGCAAGCATGAAGGCTGTCGCGCCCGCTAGCTCTAGCCCACTCCTACCAAAATTTCAGGTGAAGTGACTACTGATCGTAAACTTCCTTGAACAATTCGATTTAAACTGATGCCATCACGACAATCAAATCCAAGGATATCAAGGTACCAGGCGACCTTTCAACATCAATACTTGGCATCAATCCGTATGTCAAATAATCTACATTGGCTTTGTAACACTAAGTAGATGAAATAGGAACTAATACCAACGAACCTTCTCGAGCTTTGCACAGGTAGTATGAAATCTTATATATGATCGTGATTGCTTTGATTGTGCCAGGGGCAGTATGAGACCGTGGGCTAAGTTGTAAATTGATTGCCGGCGCCACTTTTATTGTTGTAAGATCCTATGCCGACATTGGTACCTATCCATCCCTGTCCAAGCTACTCCTGGGCGGGAATAGCAAGGACCCAGACCTCCCGGGTAATAGCATGCTAGCTCCGTAGGTAGGATTTAGATTCGCCGATTAATCTGTAAATGCAAGTTGCAATTATCTATAATAGAGAATTAACATATTGTCTCAGGTTTTCGACGCAGAAGACTTATTGCAGACATCCCTCGACCTTAGTGTCCATCTCCGAAGTTCTCCAACCACTCGTTTATATCCATTGTCCTGCGGCGAGCCGAACTTCACCATATTGATATGATCGGCATGGATACTCTTAGAAATATAGCCGTCGAGGGTTCCCGAATTCTTAGAAACCACCACTTTTCCTATCCGCAAAGGGAGCTCCTCAAAGCAAGAAGTAACCTCAAGGCTTCTACCTGCTTCTCCCAGTTCCCGTACCATTGCCATGAATTCATCTTGAAGAGACTCAAGGACCGGGCGTTCAGTATCCAGTACAGCGAACAGAGACTTGTTTGTCGCCATTACACAACCAAAAGTTGTAGCGGATATCCTATCCCAGTCACCCATCCAAGACCCCTTATGGGGTGTACCCATGAACAAGATTGCCACTGTGCAATTGAAAACACTCTGAAGGTGCGAGTCACGGTTCTTTCGAGAAAGTAGGATCAACTTTTTACAAACGAGACCTCCAAGGCAATGGGCGATGAAAATCAGAGGCCTCGAAGAGGCATCGCAAGACGACCTATCGTCCGTTAAGTCATGTAGAAGCTTTGTAGCATGGTCAAGGACCCGATCAGATGACGCGACGGACTTCCGTACAGAATAGGCATCATATCCATAGGTCAAGATCCGAGCCCCGCTGATGCTCGAAGGGAGCAAACATTCTGGCCAGGGTTTTGACTGTTGATCAAGTGCCCAGGTTGTGCGGCGATCTCCGGTCAGACCATGAATAAAGCAAATATCAAACGCTGGCTCAGGGCAATCATACAAGCCTCAAGCCCATCCGGAAACATCAAGGGCATTGATTCATCTCGTGGACTGCTTAAGCTGGCCCCCTGGTAAGAAAGTGGCGGTTGAGTCTTCGTATGATCCCCCAAGAGACGTGCTAAAATTGCCTTGAATACTTTCATGTCGTGCGCGTGGATCGATAGTCTGGATAGAACGAATTCCAAGTGATAGAGAAAGTGGACCTGTGGTACACAGAAGAAGTCAGCCCGAGATTATAAGCAGACATGGTGTATTCTTTACTCGACCTCGCGTCTTGCCAACGTGCAGTTAACCAAGCAAGAAAATGGGTCTCCGACGGAAATCGCGTAATGTCAGGGTGAAAGATTTACGAAAGATGAATGCAACGAAGAAAGATGCATCGGCCAAGTTACTTACGCGTAGGCGCAGACGATGCTATCTACCCTGTTGTGGTTAAGGGAGAGGGGTTTAGGGTGATCGTGCTCCGGCCAGAGTGGGGGCGAACAAGGGTATTTTAACGATTGGTCCTCAGATTCCCACGCCTCCGTGCCTGACCAGAAATACACATTATATTAGCGACGGGGGAGTGGCACATCAAGTAGATCAATATTGATCCAAGCCACGGTCATTGAAAGCCCGCCAGGCAGACACTAGGTAGCGGACGCTCAACATACCCATACCTGTTCAAAGGTATGTATCCACTCCGCTTTTCGGGTTCTGTTCCAAGATATATATACTACTTGCCTGCTTTACAGCACCGTCATCTAACGTGAAGTCCGATTGCGCGGGCGACCCGGTTGCGCGAGCGACCCCACCAAACCGTGAAAAACCTTCAATTTTTAACCACTATTAAAACCACCAAAAAACATAAGTTTGGCTATTGAACACGTGTAGGGCATTTAGAATATGTATGACCTTTTCTTCCACAGCCAGAACATGTCACCTGCCGCCGAACCAAGGGCATAGAAGGTATAGTAGGTTCCGTAACCGGTTTTGCAGGCACCTCTGGTAAAGATATATCTTTGCTTCTATCTTCATCCCCAACAACCACATCATCCTCACCACCCTCTAGACCCCCAAAGATGCCTTTCTGGGTACTAAACTTGTGTTTGGTCCCTCGCTTCTTGGTCTGTTTCTTGTTGGTAGCCTCCAATTGAGTACAGCGATTCTGGAGAAAAATGTGGTGGTGGACCACTTTTATAGTCATCTCGTAAGTCTTATTGATCTCCCTTTTTGTTGGTGAAGAAAGGATTGAAGAAGAAGATTGTAGACTTTTTTTGATCCGAGATTGCGATTTTGTAAACTTTGAAAGGGTCCAAAGGGTATCTGGATCACTATCGCTACCGGAAGAGACTGGTCGCTGAGAAAGGGTCTCCAGAGGAGGGAGGGAATCCAGGTGCACATTTAGCTTTTCCATGACCTTATTAGCATCGAATGGTGCTAATCCAGTAGCCAAAAAGCTATTCTTTATAGTGGAAGTCTTAAAAGCACCCATTCTCGCATCTGCGATCAGTTCAAGGAAATCTTCCTTGTCAATGGAGTTAACTCCGTTTCGCATCAAAGTTGAGACCGCCCCTCCGTAAAGCCTCTTCAAAACCGAGAAACAACCCACGTCCAAAGGCTGTAAAAGATGAGAAGCATGCGGAGGCATACAGATTGCGATGATTTGGTTTTCTTCACAGACTTGGTCAAATTCAGGGGTTAAATGACTCCCATGACCATCAAGGACCAGTAAGCAGTATTTTCCCACTCTTGTCCCAATATTTGGGATAAAATGATATTTTAACCACCATAAACCAATTGTATTGGTAGTCCAACCATTTAAGCTCATGGTTAGACGAGCCCCTTTTTGATTTGAAAGGAGATAGGGTCGTAAATGCTCTGGGAACTGTTTTCCTTTGAAGACAAAGAGCGGCGGGAGAACATTTCCAGAAGCTCTAATACACTCAATCGAAGTCACCCACTCACGATTTCCGGCTTGTAAAAGAGCTCTTTTTCCATGGTATTCTGCTGAAGTGATAATCTTTTGTGTTGCACCAATACCCATGGCAAAACCAGACTCATCAAAGTTGAAGATATCGTCTGAAGCGATACCCCACTTTTCAATCGTCCTTTGAACCAAATCAAACCATGGTTCAATAATTCGAGGGTCTTCTGAAAGAGCTCTCTGATAATCGTATTTGCGAGAGAGGCGAGTAGAGAGATTTGGGCGTCGTTTGATAAATTCAGCAGGCCAATGATTACCCACAGTAGAGGGTGTAGTTTTTCGGGCATACAGTAGAAGATTGGCCATATCTCGCAACATAGGCAAAGTAAGAGCTGCCCCTCTGGAATCCATATCCAGTAGCCATTTTTCAATCGATCCCTCCTCAATTTCGGTAAAAATGAAGCGATTGTGTCGCTTTTCAGTAGCAGATTCGCGCCCATTGATCCGGGCCTTCAAAGTTGAGACAGGTATCTCAAAAGATCGCGCAGCAGCGGCAGCAGAGGGATACTTGCCATTTTTAATAGCTTGTATAGCTAATGAAAGGCGACCCTCCTGCTCTATTAACTTTTTTTTCTTATCAGAGCGTTGGGGGGCATTGTTTTTGTGGTCAAAGAAGATGCATCATTATTGAAGTGTATTTTTGGTGGGGTCGCTCGCGCAACCGGGTCGCCCGCGCAACCGGACTTCACGTTATAGTTTATATTATTTTAATTGAATTTCTAGATAATGATAGTAGAGTTGGATTTTCGCGTCTAGTGTTATATAATAACGCTTGGCGTCCTGCTTAAAACGTCTAATTGTGACAAAAGCATAACTTATTACGTGAATAACAAACTAAGAAATAATCGAGTACGGCAGATTGATCACGTGATCGAACGCCTAAGCAGCCAGGCTCGATTCAGCTGTTCTCTCCTTGACTATCCCTCCAAACTTAACCTTCTTGCCAATACCAAGAAATGACGAGATATCTTCCCTAGGGCTATCTGTGCGCTAAATAGTGAATTTGAACCCTACCTGACGACCTCAAGAGGATGATACTCTGTCTTCTCGACCCAGCGAATCTCCAAACACTCAGAACCACTTCGTATTAGGACTAAGTTGTTGGGCCTGCGAAACCAGTACCTAACCCGCCAACACGCGGACTTGACAAAATACAGCTCGGTGATATTACTAGCTGTGACGATGGCCGGTACTTGGCTTTCAAGCCTCATGGTGGATCTCATCAATTGCACTGGAGATTCCAACGTCCACATTATCGACCCTGGCATGCCGGTCAGTGGAGATCATTACCAGAGAACATTGGAGCCGGGGAAGCTATGTCAGGTACGATGCGGCGCAGGAGACCGGGTAACTCTGCTTTCTACAATGTGCCGGACCCGCAAGAAACGCAGATTAGCATATTAAAGCGCCTGGGGGGTGTAAAGATTAGTCTTTCACCAACGCTTCTCATAACGAGGAGCATTTTGGACTCTATTGCGATTCGGACCATAGCAGACTTAACAAGTCACCGATGATTGTAACATCAATGTGCCGTATACCAAGCTCTGCATTTGCTATAGGAATGAGATATATGGCCGATTCCCCATTCCTTCATACCATAAAGCGTACTTTACATCACATTACAGCTCGTCCGTTCGATATTTCACTGTTCAATATCAGAACGTGATCTACAAATATGGAGTAGCGGATCATGTGATTAGGGATTGAAAGAGTATCTCTATCCTTCCGACATGGAAGCCGATTTTGGGCGCTACTGACTATATAGCCTTCACGGAGATCGAGATCAGGTCAGACCGAGAGACGGCAAGAGGTCGGGCTGAGGCCGTTCGGTCCACATCCGCCATCGTGGTCTACTCTGATGCTTCAGGACGTGAAGGCCACCTAGGCGCTGCTGTCGTTGCACTCGACAACAACCTGGAGGTCATCGAATCTCAGCAGGTCCAGGTGGGACCGATGAACCGGTGGTCGGTTCACGTAGCAGAGCTGATAGGTATTTTCTACGCTGTCAGTACAGTGTTCAAGATCAGCCATCAGCGACCAAGAACGGAACATAATGGAACAACAACGGCAACGATCCTCTGCGACAGCAGATCAGCCTTGCAAGCAATCCAGAACCCAGGTAACAAATCAGGACAGTGCATTATCCACGCGATCCTCCAGGCAGCCGCAGAGATTCAAGCAAAGGGTACCGCGCTCCGTCTCCAATGGATACCTGGAAACTGCGACAACCCAGGGAACGACGCAGCAGATCGGCTGGCCAAGGACGCGGCAAGCCCGGGCAAAACACACCCATTCCGCCCGTTACTGACAAGGAAGAGGGCGCTCATTCGAGACATCATCCGCGCTCAGTGGGAACGGGAATGGAAAACATCTACCAAAGGCGGTCACCTGCGTAAAATTGATAGCACTCTACCGGCGGCCTACACCAGGAAGCTGTATGGGAATTTGCCCAGGGGCCGGGCGTACCTGCTGACATAGCTACGCACGGGCCATAATTGGTTATCCACCTATGCCAAGACCTTTGGCTTCTGCGACAATGATCAGTGCGTGTGCGGCGCGGAAACAGTCACCCACTGCTGGTAGACTGCCCACATCTGAGGGAAATTCGACGGAAGTTAAGGAGTGAAGCTGGGGACGCGTTTAACAACGTATCGAGTCTGCTGGGAGGCTCAACTGAAGGTGAGAGGGGTAAACCAGACACCGTCTCGCGGGCTAGGACGGTCAAGGCCGTGCTAGACTTCGCTGAGGCGTCACAACGGTTCCAAAGTCGCGCGCCATGAGGGCAGCCTAACAACGTGAGCGGCAACTAGGCCACGATAGGCCTTGACGAGGCTCTAAGTTCGTTTTCAGGAAGTGGGACATCATACATGTACATACACGGATATATATAGTTGCTGTAGCCTGTATATCGCTTTGCGAGTTGGATTCTAAACCATAACCCACTAGGCTGAGTGCGGATTCGTATTTTAGTCTAGTTGGGAAATCAACTGGTTATGAGCCCGGATTGCATGACCTTTGAGCGCGCCGGTTCGATCCTCACAGTTTGCGTTCTTGAGCACCCAGAGCCTCCAGAAGACGGCCTATGATTGGTCGCACAGCCAGGCAGCAGAGCTTCACACGCGCCCCCAACCAAGTGTTTATGGTTTACGGGGGAGAGTTGGATTCTAAACCATAACCCACTAGGCTGAGTGCGGATTCGTATTTTAGTCTAGTTGGGAAATCAACTTTGCGAGAGGTCGGGGTAAATGAAATCTACTAGTACTACTACTACTACTACTACTGACTATATAGCAGGCATATTGGCACCTCCTATAATCAAGCGCATCAGGCTTAGGCGCGATAGCGGGGTCGCCCCCACACCCACATTAATGTCCAGTCTAAGAAACTAATTTTTCTTTTTTTTTTCTTTTTCACAAAATCTAGCAAACTCTACCGGAATGGCTCAGAGTTTGAATAGGCAGAAAAGGCCGGGGCGCGCAGCTAGTGGGGAGGCTACAGTTGCGCTGCCTAACACAAGGGCTACCAAAGTCTCGGGGTTGATGGACAGACGACCATACGACTATACGCCATAAAGTGGCATAACGGGTCTTTTTCGAAATTGTCGTTCGAGTAAACCTGTAAACCGGGGATTGGCACATTGCATTGTTCCCGTCATGTATTTCAATTCTGCTTTAGGGTTAGGCTAGACAGCGGGACCGACCCACATGACTTGTGGGTCGAGAAATTACTGTGAATTCATTTTTATTTTTTATTTTTATTTCTATTTTTTATTTTTTTCCTGCAAAAGAAAAGAAAAAAGAAAAGGAAAAAAGGTGACATCTACCTTATCTCGCTTGATTGTTGCCCACTACTATGCTTTTTGGAATGAAATTGCCATCAAAAAGGCGTCATAAATAAAAAAGGACCCTAATAGACATCCCTTCGCAACTGGTTCCCGCCGGCACGCCCGCAATAAAGATACTTTGAATACTTCGCAGTCTGGATTTTTGTACGCCCATAACATTGCAACCATGAGGCGAATAATGGTTACTCTGCATGGATCCTGTGTGTTCGACGTCAATGCGGCAATTTTGCTGGACAACTACATCAGGAAAGTCTTGTTGGCGGATGAAGACTGGCCGAGCGATTTCGACGACTGGGACCCTCAAGGCAGAGAATGGGGTTGGTTGGCACAGAGCAGACCGGAGTCGACCTCGCCATGCGCACAGGAAACAACTATAACCTTGCTGCCGAAGCTCATGGCGAAGCATGGCTTTCGGCATTTCTTGACCCATTGGGGAGAGCACAGATACGAGTTCGAACCCCGTCATCCGATATCCCGGAACCTCGCAAGTATCGTGTCCCCCAAGAGTGACTACTGCATGGTGTGTAGCGACTTAATGTGCTCTGAATTAACCGCTACTACCCTTCCATGCGACCATGTATACCATAGAGGGTGCATTCTGATATGGCTTGCTCAAGATGGACGGTGCCCGATATGCAGACGATTCCCCGATCACCTTCACGAACTGAGGACGTATGGAAATGACTCTGCCAAGTTCGGCAGATTCCAGGAAGCTGTCAAATTCTACTCCGAGTGTTTATTTCGCCTTGACAGCCTTGCCGACGACTCTGAATTACGCATTGCCCTACACTCGAATATGGCGCTCATGTACCTTCGACTGAAACTTTGGAATGAGGCGAAATGGTCGGCCTTGCAGGCATTAAAGGTGCCTGCCATCAAACCAGTGCAGACGGCCAAGGCAAAATATAGGCTCGGCCTGGCAGAAGCGGGGCTGGAGAAGTGGGAATCGGCACAGCACATCTTAGAGGAAGCCAGCCTCTATGCCCCAGCTGATCGATGCATTTCAAAAGCTCTCGCGGAGGTGAAATGCAAGGCTAAGGGCTGTTCATGAAAATGGTCAAGTCTGTACAAGTCTGTATCTGTGCGTATATAACATGTTTCCTATACTACAGTACAGCAACGCAATCTTAAGTGCTCAGCGTTGACGAGAATTGGGTTTGAATGCCTACGGCAGTCTGTTAAGGCCTTAAGGCTCAAAACTAGTTTTCCCTATACAAACCTCTCACCGTCTCCCTTACCGCCTCTATTACCGCCTTAGATAATTACGGCATCGTACGAAAGATATTCTTCTAATTAGGTACCCTTCTCCACTCACTTTATTTACTATGCCTCGGCCGTGATTCACCCGCCGTTGCGGGCAGAGGGCAGGATCCTCCTGCCCGCGGGTCGGGCACGTCTTTTACCTGCCCCCAGAGGGTGGCCCTCGAAATGTTTCGAGGGCCGACAAACATGACAAACATAGAAAATCTCATAATTACATAAAATACGCAAATTCCAAGGGAATTGATAGGGACACTCCCACTTTTGTTCCGGACACTCCTAATTATGTAATATCCATGATTAGGTAATTGAAAACGTCATGTGATTGTATTGGTATTCATTCTCCGTATTATTTACATGACCTTCGTGTATGCCCAACTTTACCACATGCAGTGCATTTAAAGGGTGCCCTCTTCCGTTTATTCATAGTCTCGCTGTCGTCTTTCTGCTCCAATTGATCCCACTTCCGCTTTTTAGGCTTTGGAAAAGGAATCAAAGGCTCTAAGAGAGGAAGGTATTCTGATTCCATTTCAGAAAGCCCAGTTCGCCAGAATGGGTGGATATCTGTCAATGGGATAGCTTTATTGCTCTCCAATAAACTAGTAATCCGATGGGCACAAGGAAGACCCATTGTCCTTGTGAACGTATTAGTACAATGGGGTAAAGGAGCAAGATTTGTAGCTCTTCTAGCCTTTGTAACTTGCTCGCCAATCAGTCGTATCGAATAGCGGGAGGTCCTGATCACAATATTAGTATAAAGTTGATGTAAGGTTACTACTGGCCTCTCAATCTGATCTCGTCTAAAATCATATTCAAGCGTAGCATGCTGGGTTTGTAAAGCCTGTGAAATCCTTTCAAATACGATCAACATATCCCCTGTCGAAGCACCGATGTGCTTTTTTAAAAAGGCATGTGAGCCTTCAACTCGAGAGGTCGCAGAATTACCGAGGTGTAGGCATTGTTGTGTCCATGCAACTATAAATTTTTCTTTATGAATTAGCCATGTCTCCTTAACATATCGAAGAGAAGGGGAGGTCTGATATCGCTTCTCGAACTCTGATAGCCTCGAATTGTAGTCGTTCTCTGTAGTAGAATAAATTAGCTGATTCCATGATTTTTGAAATGTTTGATATTCGGCGTTCGTCGTAAAATGCTGCTTCGTATTAGACGTTACGTTCTTGTTAATATGCCAGATGCAAAGAAGATGGGGATAATCTGGACAGACGACCTTGACAGCACCTAATAATGCAAGGTCTCTATCTGTACAAAGAACTGGATAGAAAGAGAGGGGGTCGAGAAATGAGAAAAAAGTCTTTAAAGCCCAAATATAGCTCTCTTCCTGTTCATTCTGCATAAAGCAAAATGCAACGCTAAAGGTTGAATTTGATGGCGAGACACCAATAATATGCAATAGAGGCATACGATATCGGTTTGTCTTATAGGTGCAGTCTAGGACGAATACCCTGTTGTATAGGTTAGCATACTTGATTGACTCTGGGTGTGCAAACATAAAAAAGAGGACATGTCCTTCGCTATCCTGCTTAATAGCATATTTCCAGTGATTTTCCTTCAAAGTCTTCAGTAGAAACTCAAGGGGAGTACTATTACCGAGCTTTTGCCTTCGTAAAGCACTTCGCGCATTGTAGATGTCTCGAGGGGTAACTAAAGCATTAGGATGCTCTCGTTTGATTAGAGCTAGGATGCCACGAGGGTTAGATCCAATTTCCGATAGATGTAGGACCTTTTGAAGCTGCTCCTCTGTGAGCCGACGGGCAGCTGAATGTCCGATCATATTATCATCAGCTGTGTGATTATGATTCCGGTTTTGGACCTGTAACTCCCACTTATCATCAAAAAGCATTTTCCCGTATAGCTTAAATGGACAGCCAATCCGCCGTGTAGTTGTCGTTCTTCGTTTCGCTCCATCAGGAGTATTCACTCGGTCACGATACGTGCCACCACGGTCACAACCAAGATAGATGTACTTATCTGTGATTGATCGTATAGTAGTGACAGCGTAACCTTGCGAGAGAGCATGCTGACGGACAGAGGCAATTAATAAATCTCTGCTATCAAAAATTTGCTCAGTAGGGGGGCTCCATTTCTGAAAAATCCGAGAGGCAGAGATTTGAGGAGCTAAGAAAAGAGGGAGGCGAGAGCTGGGGATTTATACTATACTATGGTATGACATTTAGAATGATGTTGCTGTGGTAATACCAATACAATCACATGACGTTTTCAATTACCTAATCATGGATATTACATAATTAGGAGTGTCCGGAACAAAAGTGGGAGTGTCCCTATCAATTCCCAAATTCCAAGTTAGCTGTATTATTGGGTATTTGAGTTACAGCTTAGGATTTCCAAGAGTCACTGAATTAGTAGTGGGACTGTTTTAATAAACTTGAAATAATAAATTAAATCCGATTTAGATCCATTTTTAGAATCTATAGTATATACACCATTCTATGGTGTTTACAGCATCTGTTTCAAAGTTCTCACCTTCACGCTAGCGACTACAAGTTCCAGCAAGGACACAAGGTCCGGGAAGCTGTGCTCTCTCGCAGGATTATCCACATACGAACCCTGCATGTGGTCGGTCGTCGCTTCCTTGTAATGTGACATGATAGCGTTGCTTTGGTTGACAAACTGTATCAAGCTTGAGGCCACCTCAGAATGTATGACTATAGGGTCATCGTCGTAGAAGATTTCCTTCGGCAAAAAAAGATGAATCAGGATCCCTGCGCCTCCGAGCTTACATAAAATCTCTACCGGCGTACGGCTCGACTGAGGAGACAACATAAAGGTTTTGCTCTTTTGGTTTCCTGCCACACTGTACCTAATATGCTCTAGTATGGTTTTGGTGATCTGTGAATGGCAGAAGGCCCATAATGGCTCGACAACCTGCGAATTTGCCTATCAAATCCATTGAGAACGGGGTTCTTATGATCCTCTCGAGCAACGAATCTAGACTAGCCAGTTACTACAGAGGTCTTTCCGTATGGCCATCGCGATAACAAACTTTTGAACCTTTTGAGACCTTCGATAAGAAATTCCAGAATTCCATCCAATATGAACATATAAGCGAACAAGATAGCGCGCTGGAACTGAATATTTGCGGAAGCTTTCGTGTATATCTGGTAGTGAACGTCGAAGCCAGTTTGAAACCGGTTTCCACCAAGGTATATATTTTCTCATCCAAGCCAAGACATATGAAGTGATCCCGGATATTAGACTCAATATCATGGTCTTTGATAGAAGAGTATCCAGGTCGGCCCAACTGGATCTCGCTTAGACAATGTTTATTAAGTGCCTGAGCCGAGTAACACTAGCTGTGTACAAAGGTAACGGGCTCTGGGAGCGGGAAAAGGTTGGCACCGGCACGTGACTATCAATGGTGAGATCCATTCTCGACGAAGATTTTCGAGGAGAAGACACGACGTACCATTTCTAAACCAATATTGATAATGATGAAATGTCGGGATTTATACAACTTTACCAGAGACCCTCAATTGCTTGCCGATTAACAGTAGTGGAGAAGAGTCAGTGTGCTTCAACTAGGTGCAGCATGAGTGGTCCAAGCGGGGATTATCTAATCTAATAGCGAGCACAGGGAATTGATAGGGACACTCCCACTTTTGTTCCGGACACTCCTAATTATGTAATATCCATGATTAGGTAATTGAAAACGTCATGTGATTGTATTGGTATTACCACAGCAACATCATTCTAAATGTCATACCATAGTATAGTATAAATCCCCAGCTCTCGCCTCCCTCTTTTCTTAGCTCCTCAAATCTCTGCCTCTCGGATTTTTCAGAAATGGAGCCCCCTACTGAGCAAATTTTTGATAGCAGAGATTTATTAATTGCCTCTGTCCGTCAGCATGCTCTCTCGCAAGGTTACGCTGTCACTACTATACGATCAATCACAGATAAGTACATCTATCTTGGTTGTGACCGTGGTGGCACGTATCGTGACCGAGTGAATACTCCTGATGGAGCGAAACGAAGAACGACAACTACACGGCGGATTGGCTGTCCATTTAAGCTATACGGGAAAATGCTTTTTGATGATAAGTGGGAGTTACAGGTCCAAAACCGGAATCATAATCACACAGCTGATGATAATATGATCGGACATTCAGCTGCCCGTCGGCTCACAGAGGAGCAGCTTCAAAAGGTCCTACATCTATCGGAAATTGGATCTAACCCTCGTGGCATCCTAGCTCTAATCAAACGAGAGCATCCTAATGCTTTAGTTACCCCTCGAGACATCTACAATGCGCGAAGTGCTTTACGAAGGCAAAAGCTCGGTAATAGTACTCCCCTTGAGTTTCTACTGAAGACTTTGAAGGAAAATCACTGGAAATATGCTATTAAGCAGGATAGCGAAGGACATGTCCTCTTTTTTATGTTTGCACACCCAGAGTCAATCAAGTATGCTAACCTATACAACAGGGTATTCGTCCTAGACTGCACCTATAAGACAAACCGATATCGTATGCCTCTATTGCATATTATTGGTGTCTCGCCATCAAATTCAACCTTTAGCGTTGCATTTTGCTTTATGCAGAATGAACAGGAAGAGAGCTATATTTGGGCTTTAAAGACTTTTTTCTCATTTCTCGACCCCCTCTCTTTCTATCCAGTTCTTTGTACAGATAGAGACCTTGCATTATTAGGTGCTGTCAAGGTCGTCTGTCCAGATTATCCCCATCTTCTTTGCATCTGGCATATTAACAAGAACGTAACGTCTAATACGAAGCAGCATTTTACGACGAACGCCGAATATCAAACATTTCAAAAATCATGGAATCAGCTAATTTATTCTACTACAGAGAACGACTACAATTCGAGGCTATCAGAGTTCGAGAAGCGATATCAGACCTCCCCTTCTCTTCGATATGTTAAGGAGACATGGCTAATTCATAAAGAAAAATTTATAGTTGCATGGACACAACAATGCCTACACCTCGGTAATTCTGCGACCTCTCGAGTTGAAGGCTCACATGCCTTTTTAAAAAAGCACATCGGTGCTTCGACAGGGGATATGTTGATCGTATTTGAAAGGATTTCACAGGCTTTACAAACCCAGCATGCTACGCTTGAATATGATTTTAGACGAGATCAGATTGAGAGGCCAGTAGTAACCTTACATCAACTTTATACTAATATTGTGATCAGGACCTCCCGCTATTCGATACGACTGATTGGCGAGCAAGTTACAAAGGCTAGAAGAGCTACAAATCTTGCTCCTTTACCCCATTGTACTAATACGTTCACAAGGACAATGGGTCTTCCTTGTGCCCATCGGATTACTAGTTTATTGGAGAGCAATAAAGCTATCCCATTGACAGATATCCACCCATTCTGGCGAACTGGGCTTTCTGAAATGGAATCAGAATACCTTCCTCTCTTAGAGCCTTTGATTCCTTTTCCAAAGCCTAAAAAGCGGAAGTGGGATCAATTGGAGCAGAAAGACGACAGCGAGACTATGAATAAACGGAAGAGGGCACCCTTTAAATGCACTGCATGTGGTAAAGTTGGGCATACACGAAGGTCATGTAAATAATACGGAGAATGAATACCAATACAATCACATGACGTTTTCAATTACCTAATCATGGATATTACATAATTAGGAGTGTCCGGAACAAAAGTGGGAGTGTCCCTATCAATTCCCGCGAGCACAGCTGTAATTATGGGCTTCAAAGAAAGCTGGAGACTTGTAGATTTGGCGATCTGAGCTAGCGGTTGGTATCTATCACTGAGTCTTCTGAAACTCGGAGTGATGTATATGTCAACTTTGAGTGAAAGTTGGGTGTACAGTCGAAATGTTCCCCAACGTATTTGGCTTCCGTAGGTGCCATCGTAGTATAAAGTCCGGAAAAGAGGAATTTTCTATCTTTTCTTCGTGGTTGGGAAGCGATCGTGGAACGAAATTTGAAAGAGGGATTAAGCGGCCAAGTGACAGACTTGACACGAGCATGAGACCGACAGCAAAAACCCCGTTGTTTAATCAAAGCCGCGAACGGAATCTGGCGGCTTGGCTTTCTCCCAGAATCTCTCTAGCAATACGATCAAGGGCTTGAACCACTTCCTCAATGTCCTCCGTCGTTTTTGGATTGATCGTGCACATTCGCAAACAGACCTGATTTTGCAATCGCGTTGTGAAAATAACAGCCTTATTTTCGGAGGCTATCTTCTTTGAAATCAATGTGTTGTAATTGTTATACTGATTGTTGTCAGGTTGCATTGCCGCAGGAGCGTATCGGAACGTCAATATAGCCAGAGAGCTTGGTGAAATAATCTCCCAGTCAGGTATTCGACGAAGTTTGGATTCCAAATGATGTGACAGATCAAAGCCCCAGCTGATCATTTGGTCAATCTTCTCAAGTCCGAGAACTTGCAGAGTAAACCAGAGCCTCATATGCCGTGCCGGTCGAGTTAGTTCGATTCCATAGTTCCAAGGATCGGAAGGTTTCTGTGCACACTCAACATCCTGTACGTAACCACCAGAGCCAGAAAAGCTTTCAAGCGGATGAGCTTGTTCACGAAAAAACACGGCTCCGCAGCCATGAGTTTGAAACAACCACTTGTGTGCGTCCCAAGCAATACTCTGGGCTAATCCAATGTCCTGAATCTTGGATCGGTGTGTCTTGGAAAAGGCGACCGAACCACCGTAAGCGGCGTCGACGTGCAACCACATATCGTATGTGTCTGCAATTTGCCTAAGCTCCCTGAGTGGATCAATGCTTCTAGTGTTTGTAGTCCCGCAACTCGCCACGATCAGAAAGGGCTGCCGACCCTGGGTGATATCTTCATTGATTTGGTGTTGTAGTTTGACCGTATCCAATTGAAATTTGTCATCGGTCTTTATCACGCGGATCTGGATGTCTGAGATGCCAACAATTCGCAGGACCTTCCCAATGCAGAAATGGGCTTCCTCGGAGATGTAGGCAACACCGTTCACGCGTTGTTCGATTTTCAGCTTCTGGTCTCGGGCCACGATGACGGCGGTCAGGTTGGCCATGGAAGCTCCCGAGACGAATTGTCCACCGGCGGACGATGGCAGACCAAACTGCTCTGCTATCCATCCAATCAGGCTGCTCTCAATAGTACACACCCCCGGTCCTGCTTCCCAGCTACCACCGAAAGGGTTATGAGCGGTGGCAACACAATCACCCAACCATGATAAACGAGACACCGGGGACGGGATGCAGGAAAAGAACTTTGGATGCGCTGTTGCGAGTCTGTAAGACAGAATTTTGTTGGTATCTTGCAACACCTCTCCAATCTGTCTGGCTACGCCGGGAACGGCCATCGTGCGCAGCTGTCTAACTTCATCCTGGTCAGGCCTCCGGACCAGTGTATCGTCAGAAGTAATTTCAGGACCGCTATGGAGCAGAGCAGAGACTAAATCGTCTGAGACATGGGCAATATTGTTAGATTCGAAACCCATTGTGCCTGTTAGAGCGGAAGTCAGTTTAACGTGAGAAGAATTGTGAGATTAGAGGGTGAGTGAGAGTTGCAATTCAATCAATTTAAATAAGTTCGGTTTCGATTTTCCATGATAGTAGGTGGATCATCGAAAGAGAAAGCCCAGAGCTTGGTCAGCATGACAAGCCCAAGCCCATCCGCCATCCAATCCCGAGAGAGACTTTCCCATGTGAACAAGATTCCGCTGTGCCAGGTGAAAATGAAGCGAGATTGATAGCTGTATTTTAACGGGATTCCGAAATACGTCCCTTAGTGTGAATCTAACAGCTCCCCCTATATTACGTCCTGTTGCTAATCGGTTGTGATTTGATCTGCTGATGGCGTACTCAATGATCGGTCTCCAAATGAGCTTTTCCAAGTTATTAAATCTTATACGGCCATGCTATTGCTAGATTAGATAGAGTAAAGAGCCATTTATGAAACAATTCACTCATACCGACAATTATCACAGCGTACTCAGTACGCAGTACAGGAAGGTTGCGGAAATCAGTGTGTACATCTCTCCTCCACCTTCCGTATACGGAACAGCCGCATTTGGCTTTTGTTTAATTTAATCTAATCAATAACACTTTTGATTTTCGTCTTTTGTTCTGTCGCTTTATTTTTACCTCCTTTTTCTTTAATTTTCTATGTTGTTTATTGTATTTTCCCCTTTTGCTTCTTCTTTCCATTTTCCGTCTCGCGTCTAGCTAGTCTACTCTAGCTTACGCAAAACAAAATTGTGACTCGATTCACACTGACCAGCAATTTTTTTGTCGAGCTGGCCTTGCAGAAAAGTCTGAACAACCGGCTGATAAAAAGATGAGCTTGGTATTCTATTGTGAGAAGATCTTCGGTGTCCTCGATATCTCTTTCGATACATCCCAAAACATATCTACTCAATGTATCTCCACGAATGCCTTAGTGCGCTCGAGTAACGACACTTCCTAAAGGCAAGCTTTCCCATTGGAAGTGGAACATCCATTTCACGGGATGTATCAATCTGGAGTTTGCATAATGTGCCCTTTCCGACCAATATGTAGCCCGTGTGGCATAACTTGCGCGTGAATCAACTGCGCCAGAGGCGATAATCTAGTTTCGGGTAAGGTAGTGATCAAGATTCTCGTGGAGTTGCTTTCCAGATGAAATGGTGCCCAAATTTTTGATGTAATGCATTTAGCCCGTCTCAGACACTTGGCGTCAGGTCTACGTTATAGTGGAATTTGCTCAACCAATAAAAGAGGTCAGGCCTTTTAAAGGTGATTTATTGCTTGTGCATACTGTATCCATGGCCCCACTGATTATAGGATATAATAGTCATCTGGTGCCCCGACTTGACAGCGTCCGGTGTACCTTCTGGGTATCCTGGATTTTGAAAGTGACAACCTTCGCGGGAATCTGCACTATTGACAGTGCTCCTCTTGATTTCCTCCCGAAGCTATTTTTCTTGCTGTCTTGAGGATGTCGTCAGAAGGAAATATCACCCTGGCGTCGAATGTCCTCGGAACGATTGGCACGGTTCTTTGGTGTATCCAGCTCCTACCGCAAATTTGGTTCAATTGGCACAAAAAGAGCACAGAGGGACTCCCCGCTACAATGATGTTCTTATGGGCAAGTTGTGAGTTTCATTTCTATAACAGCATTATGAACCTAGCGGGAACTTCAGTAGACATGTCGCGAAGAGTTTGACTTAGGACTTCGTGTCTTTAGGCTCCGTCCCGATGGGTACATACATGATCCTCCAAGTGAGTTCTCGTTTCTTCGGTGCTCTCGCTCAACTCGATGAGGCACTGTAAAATTAACCAAACTCGCTTTGATACTGTAGCAAGTAAACCTTCCTATACAGATTCAGCCTCACATTGTTGGACTGCTCTCAATTGCTAGCTGGGGTCAAATTCTCCATTACAGCCAGTAAGTCGAGTTCGCTAGGCTGGCAGCGCAAGAAAATATGTTTACCATTATTTTCTGAACAGTCACTACGGAAAACTCAAGACCGTATTGATATGCTCAGGCTTACTTCTCCTGTTGGGGGGTTTGGAAACTATGTTGATTCTCACACTGAGGGTACACTCCCAGCAAACCTCTGATGCCTCGTGAAAGACTGACGCTAGTGCCAGATCCCCTACCGCAATGATGTTACGTGGCCCAACACTGTAGTCGGCGTCATAGGAGCTATCCTCCTTATTGCGGGGCTATTACCTCCATACTTTGAGTTGTGGAAGAGAAATGGACGTGTGATAGGACTCAGTGAGTTTATTTGACACGACCAAAGCCTTCCAACACCAATGGTAGCTGATATGAGCAGATTGGGTCTTCCTTGTGATTGACACCCTAGGGGGAATATTTTCTCTTTTCGCGTTAGGTTTGATGCGCCCGTTCCGTGCATCTTGGGCCCAAATAGAACTAACACAACATCTAGCGGCGCAAGGCACCTTTGACATATTAGGAGGGACCATATATATCTTAGTGTGCGTCAAGGCCCTAACGTATTTCTTTCGGGCAGTAGCTGACACATATCAGAGTGGTTCTCGAAGGGGGGATATATATCAGCCATATTACTTGGCGTATACGTTACCGGAGCCTGCGCAAGGAAGCTAAACAGACTGGGAAAAGCATTGATGATCTACTTGTCTTAACCCTTGGCCATTCACCAGAAACACAAGACGTCGAACAAGGCATGCCATATGACCACAGTTCAAGCGAATCGATACCAAGGCTCATTGAAAGACAGGAGAAAGAATGAGAACCAGCCGCCAACTGGTGCCGCGTTCGCCTTTGTCATTTGCGGATTATTCGCGAGGTCAAGACCAACAGCGATCGAGTTCCCTAACAGCTTCACGGAAAGCAAGCAGGAAAAAGCCTCAACATACAAGAGTACCTGGTTGTTTCTATACCTAGAGTAGCTTGGATACAGTGTTTTCGGTGTCACCACCTATCACAATTTCATTGTTTCTCGAACCCTAATGCCAAGACCTACCGGTCTATATTAAGAGTAGTGTCGGAGTAGCAATTTTCCGATATCGTCATCCATTCCGTATTTTACACAATCTATTGGAACCCCATGTCGCCAACATAATCGAGCCGTACAAATTGTTGTCTTTCTTCTGAGTCTTCGTTTACAAAGACAGGATGAAAAGGGGACGGAATGGAAATGAATCATGGGCACCTGCTATACGCGAAACCCTGCGAAAGAAATCCGCCATAAATCGCGGCACAGCTAGGCCGAGACTCAGGAGTACCTTTTGCGTTTTAATGTTACAAAATCATATTACGCGAATAACAAATTAAGGAGTAATCAGCTACGGCAGACTGGGAAGATCACCATGACATCTCTCACCAGTAATGCACGACCAGGGGATAATACTTCGCCAGACTTAGATATTCATCAGCGAGAATCCTAGCGACAGGAGCGAGTATACGTGTGAGGTACGAACTTAAGAAAATTACAGCTTGCACAGAGCCTCTACTATTACTTACTACGTCTTTTTCCGTTGTGTGAAGGGATCGTAAATCAACACGATTGAAGTTTAAAACGGACCAATTCTTAAGGCTTGCGTGATATCGATTCTCCTCTCTAACATTGATGGAGAATCGGTGAGCTGGATCGTATTCCGTACAGCGTGTTACACCACGGTATTGTGCACTTTAAGGTGCGAGATGCTAAAGGGTCTCGACTAACTTGGATCGTTACGCCATTAGTGATCGCAATGCCGGTACCATAATAGGGCAGCTGGACTGATTGCAAGCAAGCTGCCTCGCCGCATCCGGAGAAGGGGTGACGTAGTGGCTTTGTCCGTTTTGTTATGACACGCTGCCGAAACAGTGGAGTATAGACAGTCCCAGTGCTAAATCTTGTGGTTTCGCTCCGCCAGCAAGTTGACCCCTGGTCAGTCGCTTCCGCTTGATCCATATCATCTTCCGCAAGAAAAAGAAATATCAAGGAAGCATTAATGTGCCGTGTATAGATCGTTACAGAATTCCATGAGAATTTTCTCATCAAGGATGCCTTCTTTCACAACGACATGCGACTTTCCGTCCATAACTTCGTGTTGTTCCCAGACTTCTATCGAAGAGTTGTCATGCCTTGATATGTTCTCAAACAACCACTGCTCGTAGTCTGGATCACGTTGTTCCAGAATTGTGCCAAACTGTCCGTCGACCGAGTGTTCAATCATGCATCGCTCTATACGAGACAGTGCCTTCTCACTTATGTCGCTAGTATCGAATTCAACGAGAAGACGCCTTTGCCGATCCATTTCGTATCCAAGGACTAGCGTGAAATGGGCACGCTTGCGATATGATAGAATATCTGACATGTCCTGCACCACATTAATTACTGAAATATCCGCTGAGCAGAAGGCGTCTAGCAGATAATTAAACTCAGTCATCGCTTTGGCTTCTGCGCTAGTGTGGACAGGCGTGAATGTTTCCAGAAAAAGATGTGAATGGGGTCCCGCGGATTATATACTTTCGTACCGAAAAGCGCTATCCTATTACAACGTGATCCTTTGAATATATTCCGGTAACCCACATGCCAAACGCCCTTCTTATCACCTGATTAGTCAAAGGAGAGGGGCTTGGCCCCAGGGCTAGTAATCTAGAATGAATTCAGTACGTGGTTATATAATGGGGAATGCCTCATTTCAAACTATTTCCAACAAACAGCTACGAGGATGATTGACGATATTCTCGCGTTATGGCCTTTGTGGCGATCGGTTGCTAGAAATTTATCGGTGGGCGATCTACAGTCGCTCCGAGTGTGCAACAAGTGCCTGAACTCCATATGTCTCGATGAAGGCCTCTATAGGCGTCGAGTGTTCGCACGTGACCTGAGAAGATGCTTCTCTGACTGGGTGATGTTCCTTGAAGTGATACGGTCAAGCAATGCGCTATTAGCCGGACCCCCGATCATAAAGCTCTTGACGCAAGAACATCTGAAGGTGGTCGAAGATGTTGACATATGCGTGTCTGAGAAATATGGAGCAGCGTGGGCGCAGTATCTCGCCGAACGTGAGGGCTATGAAGTCATCTACGAGTCTTCACGATGGCGCAACAAGCGGAGCCAGGTAAGGCTGACCCATAGGCTTTTTACCGAACTAACTTTGTAGGTCTTTCGTTATTCAAAAGTGGTTAAGAGGGGCGCAGATTCTGAGCGGCGCGTAGTGCAGCTTTTTGTCTTCGTTTCACAACGAATCGAGGAACAGTACTGCCAGTTGATGGGGATCTCATCACTTATGTCCTATTGGCGAAACAATCAGATTGTTTCATTCTTCTCACAAGAGCTGTTCTCAAAGACTTTTTGGAGCACACCTGTTGGGTTCGTCGGAGTATTTCCATACTCCGGTCTCAGGTATGGCTACATTCAAGCGCTCCGGGAGGCGGGGTACCATGTCAATGGTTGGATATCTTTTGATGAGAATGAAAGCAGTAACTTGAGCAGCAGATGCGTGCTGTTTGCTGTTACGCTCACGGGAAGACATGATTTCCGGATGAGCCATATGACTCCCTATCGAATAACGGTGGGGTACCCAGAAGTTACAATCGAGTACAGTCAATCTCAACTCTGATTTGGTGAATTAAAGAATCTTGTAAACCTAATAAGTGCATGTTTCACGGAGGCGCAGCTGGAGTGGGGGGTGCAAGATGCCAGGAGCAGTTGCTATCCTGTCTCATTTTGGTGCTCTTTTACACATGCACTGTGAGATGTGGATATTTGGGGATAGCGGGCTTATCTTATATCTTTTACCAGTCAATACCTTGGGACCGAGTGAAAAGGCTGGCTCCGCTGGCCAAATATATTCATTCAAAAAGAGTAACTGGAAGATCTTGGTCCGTTACCTCAATCCTCATGCAGCACCTGTGGATCATTAAGAGGCTTTGAATCAATTGAAATCCATGCCATTCCATTCGCTGATAAATCGATTTTATCGCAAATCCAGGTATATTAAAATTGAAAAGCTACCACGATAGAAACAAAGTCATACCGTATACCTTTTCATTCGAACCCAGCAGCCATCGCCACTGGAGACGACCAAGGTGAGAATCTGCTTTTCCTCGCCCACCGGCATGTTAAATTGCTTGTCCTCTGTCATTTCGATCGTTTCAAACATCTGTATTAACCTGACGACGGTGTATGCAGCCTCCAGCTCAGCAAACTGCTGACCGAGACACACTCGTGGACCCCTATTAAAAGGCAAATAGCCCCATCCAATATCTTTCAGAGCGTCATTCTCCCAGCGTTCAGGGCGGAAACAATCAGCATCAGATCCGAAAAGGTCTTTTCGACGGTGCATGGCATAGACACAATATCCGACAGCTTCGCCTTTTCGCACTAGAATTGGAGCTGTTCCATCGGGACCTCCTCCAGTTGGAAGGGTTGTCGTCTTCGTAGCTGCACGTGAGTTCACTGGAACGGATGGATACAGTCGGAGGACTTTTAGAAGCTGAGTCAGATCGTCGTTTCAAGGGAAGCAGAAAAGGAAGGTCGATCTATTACCTTCTTTGACCACAATCGATAGATACGGTAGTTTCTTCACTTGACCGATTGCGGGGTTTGATGCTCCCAAACCAACACCGACCGTGTTTTCAATTTCGCGCCGGAGCTTGGTAAGAACTTTAGGATGTTGAACAAGTAGGCGTCTTGGGCGCAGTTGCGTTAGCATTTAGCCGGACGGGTAGTGCAACATTACTCACAGTGTCCATGTCAGGCAGCACGCTGTTGTGTCTCTTCCAGCCAAAAGAATATTCAGGCATTGGTCTCTCAAAACTTTTGGATTTGTGGTTTTCTCGATAATAGCATCCACGAAAGTGTACGATTCAGTGGAACCTGTCGACTTCGACGGGCCATAGCGATCCAAAGCCTTCTTCACAGCAACATCTACGAAATCGTGGCAGACTTGACACACTCTTCGAAAATCCTTTCCACCAATGACCCAGTGGAAATTGCCGAGACGTCCTCGCTGTGCAAGGTAGTCCTGGCCTCGGTTAAAAGCGTCTGCAAATTCGGCTTCTCGACCTGTTATTCCCTCAGACTTGAGGCTTGGCAGATGCTTTCCAAACAGCAGGAACAGAGTGGTCTCAAATGTGAGGCGGAAAAAGAGCGGCTGTAGGTCTACCACTCCATCCTCGGGGACACGGTCGATCAGGGCATCCACGGCAGACTTGACCTGTTCGAAGTTTTCCATCCTGTTACTCATGAATTGCGGTCGTAGAAGATCGCGTGAGTGCTGCCATTGTTCTCCATCTTGAGTGAAGATACCGCTACCCATCAGAGGGTCAAAGTGCACCGGTCGTAGCCCTAGATCAAAGTCTTAAACACACTGGTCAGCAAAAGGTACACTCTGTTTCTGAGTTAATCCTACCGTAAAACTGCGTCGAAAGGATAGCCTCAATGTTCTGAGGCTCAATTGTATCAATGCCTCGAGCAAAGAGGAGCTTCTGCTCAAAGGTATTTCCCGACTGAGCTACTACGTCTAGAAAGAATTGGAGAGTCTGCTGCCTGCGATCATACTCGAAAGCTTTGAGGAGCAAATCAAGCCCCAGAGGCCATTTTGCATTCCAATGCTTGAGTGGTTGGCATCCATTCTTTGCTGCAAATTGTTCGTCGATCTATCAAGCAGGTCAGAATGAGTGAACAAGCCTCCTCAGCTCAGGTAAGGGCAATGTTCATTTGTCACTCATAGATAGAAAGTAGAAAACGTACCCTTCGCTCATTCTGATATTTGATGAATTTGTATATCAGAGCCAAGGCCAAGGAGCCGACGACGAGGTCGAGAAATAGAGGGTTTGAGAATATCATGGTACCCAGGGAAGATAGGATTCCAAGCAATCGATATTAGACTTGATTTAGAATAAATGTTCGTCTGGCGGAGCGGCGGACGATCATATACTTAATGACGCGGAAGCGAATGGGACGAGTTGACTGGCAACGCCCGTTCCAATACTGTTTTTCAGCTTTGGTGCCCCACGCTGCGTACCGTAGATAAACTAGACAACTGTTTCGCTCCAGCTTAGGTCAAAAGATATATTCTTTCTTCAATTTCCAAGACTTTGGGTGGAAGAGGTGTATATAAAGGTGGGAATGGATAGGGCATGTCGGTGAATGCTCGACAAATTCGCGATATCAGCAGGAAATATAACGCAATCCACTAGATATTCAAGGAAGGAATTCCCTTTGAGGATTACCCTCTAATGTAGAAGCATATCGCCAATTGGTGTTACGACCACCTGATCAAGTATGAAGGAATTCGATACGGCCGGTGTCATATATTACGGCAGCTTTCTATTTAAAATAGCTTTGAAGAAGCGGAAGCAGTGGTCGCGACAATGACGACTGCTCACAGAACCGTTGAATATCGTGTCAATTTCTGATTTCAATGTATTGTAGTGTGGAATGGCTTATTGTATGAACTCGCGATGTATCGGATCCCTCAGGATTATATGATGTAAGGCTTCCCTATTAGCAGGTTGGCAATACAGACACATCTTTCTCTTCACTATCATTTCTATGTCCTCCCCTCTATTATACCTTTACTACTCTTAGTCGCCGATCTGGTTAGTATGAGAGCATGTAGGGATTGAGAGATCACGAAAATAGCTTACCTAATTGCCCCAAAGGCACTTCGAACTGAGATGCGATAAACTCCTCAGCCTTGGGTGCCGCGACCCTAGAGTCAAAGTAGGGACGGATGTTTGCTCCGACCAGGTCCACAGCGCCGCAAAGACCGGAGAGCCCATAGCTCTGCCACAAATTGACCGTTTCCGCGGTTGTCACCCATCTACTGTACCCGTGGACCTGGAGCGTAGTGTTGGCAATTTGGATAAATGCGGGTAGTGTAGGGGCGTCACAGAAGCCGTCCCACTACCCACTACAATCAGTTCGACTAGTTCCCACTTCGCCCAGTTTATAATACGCTGAACTTGCTGCTCAGCAGCAGAGACCACTGATCGGCCCATATAAATACCTAGAATCATACGAAGCCCCTCCTTCTTACATGCGTCACGGACATGGGAAAGTGCACTACAGTCAGTCGAGTAAAGCCGGACGCGACTAAAGCATCTCACCTCGATTTCCTTGATTTGTGCAGATACATGCTCCTCACTTGTACACACTCCAGCCTGGGTGTACAGGGTATATGACATAACATATTGGCCCTTGCCGGTGATACTTGATGGATTTGCATCTCTACTCATCGACTAGGAGGTGGCCCACCATATGATGGAAGCAGTTGAAATCGTACCTAGAAGAATAGTCAGCAGAACCACAAGGATCACCTATAGGGGTAGCTCATCTCTTTATTCTCTGACCCTCCGGTGCGAGGCAACACTTTCCTCGTGAGGCTGCAATAAGGTATCTATTACGCTTTGTGTCTCTAGAGTGCCCCGGTTCAAGTGTGCTAAGCCCCTAGTTCTGTTTTTCAAATCCTATCTACTGTGGTTGTGGACTAGGCTTCATGATGTTTTTCTATGTGTGACAATTTTGAACTTGCAACTCGGTACCAGAGAATGAAAATGATTATGCGTCTCGTCTAATTGCCATGACGGACGCCGTTGTTTTCCATTTACCTCCGTGTCAAGCCAAGCATCTTTCTAAGCCTGGCTCTTAGCTGCGCTTGTTTCTCTGCGAACGTCCGAAGGATCAAAAATTCCTAATACCAGGGCTATATAAAGTTAGACTGATTCCGAGCTCTTCATCGCCAATCTTACCCAATTTTCCGGGATAGGCTGCTGAGCTTCCGAAGACAAGGCTACTGATTATTAGAAAAAGCTCTAAATAAATGAAAAAGCAAAGAACACCTGAGATGGACAATCAAAATGTGAGGATGTGATCCTTACCAAAAGCATTCATCGCAGAAGTTTCGTATCATCGGTTTCTTAGATGGAGTCTTCTCGTCTGTCTGTGTTTTCATTCTTCGACCGCTGGATATCTTTACAGTGACATCTTCTTCGTCTACAAAGGCAATAAGAGTTCCGGCTAAAAAGTTATCAATATGCTACCACTTGAAGGCTTTCAGAGGGGCATTCGAATCGGATACTTACTTCCGCCTCCGTATTTGGTACATATAGAACAATAACAAATGAAGCTTTTTGCGTTTTTAAACTTTTGGCGCTTGGTGGAAATTTTGACATTACCACAAACGCAACTGCCCGTCAGGTCCATTTTAAACAACACACGTTATCAAGTCTGCCTACGAAAGTTAGGGAGTACGTGAATATATAGCCTTTCACTTGATCAAGCGGACAACCTCAAGGGAGCAGCAACGTATGCGGCGTTTTTATGATGACATGATCAAGAGTCGTCTATTAGCTCTAGTCATTGCTAATCTTACTCCGCTTGGTTTCTATCTTAATATGCTTTTGTCTGATTCGAGTTCCACTGTCCTGTGTCTTACGATGAACCATGAGACTGGGTATCAGAGAAATGCCGTGCATGTTTCCTCTCAGAAGACGTATACGATATTATACTACATTACTAAATATCAAAGTGAGTATTTGCTTGAATTGCTATTTCTAAAATGAAAAAGCTTCATTTTTTGCTAGCCACATGGGCTCTAGACATCTGTTCCTAACAGCCCGCCTCCTCGGCTGCTTTTCTTTCTTTCTTTCCTTTTTTTTTTTTTACCTTTTTTCTTCTTTCTTTTGGTGAAGGGTAATCAGGAAAAGAGTGAGCAGTGGCCTGAAAAAGGAAAAAAGAAACGAAGAAAATTGAACCAAAAAAATTCAACAATAAAAAATTATTATAACCCGCAAACGATCTCTCTCGAAAAGGAAAGTAAAAAAATAATAATTAGAATGTGTATTTGCCCCGCCATCCCGTCTAAGCCCAAAGCGGCCTTTCAACGTTCTATACTCGGCTCAGATACCTTCTTTGTTCGTGTTTCCTCTTTCTTCCTTTTCCCCTCGTTGAAGTTTTCTAGAGAGGCGGCGGGGATGTTGAAAAGACGCAAAGATTTAAGAGAATTGAATTCCTTAACCTAATATGAAGGTGGACGTAGGTGGTCCTCGCTATGTCCTCTAACTGTAAAGTAGCCTGTGCCTATAAGCCCTTTTGCTACGAAGCGAATGTGTGCCCCCACTTACCAACCCACCCCAGCCAGTTTGAAAACCTTCTACTATATACATGTTATATCCAAGGGCCGTCATCTGCCGGTTCAAATTTACCGCTATAATACATCGGTGATGTCAAAGGCATGGGCACGCATCAGGTATATTTCCCAGCAATAGAGTCGGAAAAGGGCAGAGGTATGGCTGACTTTGAAACCACCACAACAGAAACATAAAACGATCTCATATCTTGAAAACAAAGTGTTACTATCCTTAAGGCTCTCCGCAATTATAAAATGATTCACTACATCCATGTGTATGGCAGGCAGCATAACACTACCTTGGATACTGCACCTCACCAAATTCACCTTTTATTGGAGGAGGTCAAGCGCAAGACGTCAGAAAAAGCCCAGTGCCACGGCATATGCTGGTATCAAACCCGTATTCGATATCATCCGTCCTGGCTCCGAAGGGAACTCGTGCGTATGTGTGCAGGAGATAAGGGAGTAAAACGTTTGAATGAGGTATGGTACCACACATGTGTTTTTCGTATGAATCTGAAGATTGAAGCAAGTCTCGATGAACGCCTTGTGCGAGACTTGCGTGGCCTTCTCGGACAATACATGATGGTAGAGAAATTTGAAATCACAGGAGGGGGTCCCAATGATACCACAAAACGCATGCGCTCTCTGAGAGATGAGATCCAACGGCTACATGATCGGTCAGTGTTAAAGACAAGTACAGGGGACTGCCAATATTTTGGCGAACGATTCGGCATTGGGAGGGATATCTAATGGAGAGACGCATAAAAGGCGAAAGAGGAGACTTAGAAAAAAACATATAGGATGCGTTCGCAAATTTCAGTCTAAATTAAGCCCATTTCATTGTGTGCCGACACCGATAAGAGGCCGTTCCGAACTAAATGCCTTTAACAGCATCTGGTAGAAGTGACCCACGAAACTCTTAAGTACCTGCCTATGTTGCTAAGATATCTAAAACAACTAAGGGCCCGAGGGTAATTTGAGAAGCTGTTAGAGAGCGCTAGGAGAGTATTCTTTCCATGAGGATAGTTGCAGAGCGCTCCCTCACATCTTTGAGTTGATGGCGTTGGTAGACTGTCGTACGGGAATACGGGGGCCGTGAGCAAGAACCGTGCCACTCAAGGAGCAAGTAATTCATTCCTGTATGAAGATCACCCTTCTAGACTTGTAATGCGTGAACATCAGCTGCTCTTTACCCCCTCATCGTTAGTTCTTTTGGCGGAATTAATGAGATACATACAGAGTGTAACGTACGAGATCGGGGTATTTCAAGCCTGACTAGGCTCTCAGATTTGACGTACTAGAAAACACCCGTATCATGTGCAGATATTTGGCAAAATCTCCCAAACAAACATTTTCATAACCAAACAACATCCCATTCATAAGAACTGCCAATCCTGTCACTCCAACTTCTCCCTAAGCCATTCAAACCGTTGCCTCCGCCGGATGCAATCTCACAGTCACCGGATCAGCCGGACAAGAAGTAAGTGAAACACCAAAACGAATCTCCCTCTCCGGGTGCACATCCTCAATCTGATCAAACCTCTGTAACAATCTCACCAGCACATAACTAGACCTCATCAAAGCAAACTCCTGACCAATGCATCTTCTTCGCCCCGCATTGAACGGAATATACCCCAAGGGAACATTCCCGCGGGCCCACCGGTCCGGATTGAATATTTCAGCATCCTTACCCCAGATATCCTTTCGACGGTGCAAGACATAGGTGCTGTACATGACTGTATGGCCCTTGCGGATGTAGATCGGGGAAGTACCGTCTATTCCGCCGCCACGAGGGAGCGTAGTATCCTTTGTCGCGCAACGGCGGTTGAAGGGTACGATAGGGTACAGACGAAGGGTCTCGTTAAGAAAATGCTGGAGGTACTGGCATGATTTTAATGACTCAAAGTCCAAGTTGCATGGCTGATCGTAAGTACCGAATTGCTCGAGGATATCGCTTCGAAGTTTTGCGAAGACGTGCCGGTGTCGTGCGAGAAGGAGGATCGTCCAGCTCAATAGAGAAGCCGTTGTGTCACGGCCTGCTAGGAGGACGTTCAGGGATTCATCGCGCAGCCTGAAGGGGTCTTTTGTAGTACGAGCCAGGGCTTTCAAGAAGATATACTGCGATGGAACCTTTTCGGCACCCTTGGCTTTCTCTTCATCCTGCTGTACCTGGATTAGAGCCGAGTGAACATACTTGTCCACGAAGGCGTGCAAAATATCAATGCACTTCTTAAACTCCAGGTTGTAGATGACCCAGTAGAGCCGCTCGAACCGGAGTCGCTCCGCGAGATACCACATGCACCGGTCAAACGCGTAGAGAAAAGTATCATCAGCGGCCCGTCCCGCTTCCCTTTGCGTAGCAGCAATCTGACTATCACAGCTTTTGCCGAAGAGGAACTCTGTGGCCGAGTCAAGGGTAAGACGAAACAAGATGGCTTGAATATCCACTTCGGATGACCAGCCGTCAGATAGGATCGGAATGGCGCGCAATGCATTTTGAACATGACGTTCTTCACTATCAAGATTGCTCATCTGATCTCGTTTAAATTGAGGTCGTAGCAGTGATCTGGAATGCTTCCAATCCTCGCCATCAGTAGTAAACTAGGCGGAGTCAGCCACACCTCCAGAAAAAGGTTACTTCCGCTGCGGGAATAAGACTGACGATTCCATGACCGACAACGGGGCCTGCCACATTATGACGCATATCACCTAAGCCGAAGTCGTTGAACTGAGTCACCAGCATAGCCTGGATATTCTTCCAATCGACCGTGAACAGGTTCTCCCGACCAGCCTGGTACATACGAAAGGTAGAAACGTATCTGCCGAGCTGGCTAGATAGGGAATCTATCCGTTCCTCTGCAAGTGCTGGAAGCCGCTTCTTTCTCGCTGCTTCACGTGTCTTGAGGAGGGTGGAAATACCGAAAGGATCCTTGCTGGGATAGAGAGGGACTGCTTTACAGTCTAATCTGCGAGCTTTTTGGGCATGACACCAGGTGGAATATACGAAGAATAACAGACGCCCCGCAATTGCGAGTGCCACAAGGGCTGAGACTAACCAGCTTTGCATGAGGAGGTTGCTAAGCGTTGCGGTACCAGTAGAGGAGGTGTTAGGATACGGTTTTGTCTCGACACAGTGTGAGAGGTGAAGAAATAATAACAATCTTTATCTGGGGGTTCTCAAGCATATAAAGGATTAAAGCAGGCTGGTAACACTAGGGAATAAGGCACAGGCGAGTGAGTTCACAAGACAATATATTTTCATCAACTACACCCGAGATGAACAAAGGCCCAAGATCCTTGCAAGACAAGATGATGCTGGTGGAGCACCTGAATGCCTCCAGACAGCCACTCTTATGTTCGGGACTCCACCTGAGCGCTGCGGTTTTCTTGAGCCGGTACACTTTAACCATCCTAACCATCTGACTAGCATAGCCACATATTTGTAGGCATACCGATCATAGAGGAACAAAACTCGATCAAGGCTGAAATAGCAGGGATATGTCAAGCAGACACTGTACCCGAGTGGCCTGAGACTCTAATCGAGGCATAGGCAGTCGGGAACGACATCAGAGATATAGATGCTTAGGTCAAGGATACTACAGCACTAGCAAAAGAGGGAGAGGGGAAACGAGCTATCTCGAGTTGGTACAGCCCTGGTGTCTATTGTTGTTGATGGGTATAGGACAAATTGTACTGAACGCGGGAACTATATATCAACCTGCCAACAAAACGACATTCAAAAGTAGGAGAGTAGAGGCTCGATGGCATTACCTAAGTATTGTCTCTGAATGTCTTCCGGTATCAATAGTCAGACTCGTTAATCCCATCTATGAACCTACCACACCGGAAAAGGAAAATATGCGGAGCTGTTGACGAGCGTCACCACTGTACCAGAAGGCTTTCCGTAAACTGGTCACGCTGTACTACAGCCTACGCGGGGCGAGAACCGACCGTCACAACGGCCTTTCATCCATGGAATATGCGAGGCTTAAGCCCCAACGGAGGCTATTCTTGTGCCCTACTGCGTTTGCGTTCTATCCTCGACCTGCACGTGAGTCTTTGTGGAGCAGTTGTACTGTGTTCGGGGAGATGGTACAGTATTCGGCTTCTAACCCGCCTTTCAGCAATTCCTAGTAGAGAGTGGGTACAGCACGGCTGTTTATCCCTTTGTCTAACTTGAACTTTATTGATTTAATTTCATTTAATTTTCTCGGCTTCATAGCTTTTATTCATTTGGTTAACTTCACTGTGCTGGTTTTATTTTGTGATTTTTGATCATTTTATTTTATTTTATTTCCAGTAATTGCCCCCTTTTACTTCTTTGTGAATCTTGATTTATATTTCGCTTATTATTTCGATTCGTCACGATTCTATGATTATTTTAATGACTTTTCCACTATTGTCGTTCTTATATGTTGTTTTCTTTGAGGGTAACATGCATCCCCGGAATCGGTTCTCGCAGTAAGCGGCAACCCTAGCAAGAAACAAGGGTCCATTCGCCATTCGTCCGAAGGCTTACAACTAGAGAAGAGAAAGAGGGAGAGATGTAGAGCCAAGGACAATACCCCTCACCGCCTTTGCAGTTCTGCCACTCACCAGCAAGCGAGCTTCGTGCTCTCTCCGGAACGTAAGAGGCGTTAATACGAATAGTATCTATCAGCTAGTTGGTATAATATAGCGAAGACTTAGTTCAAAAATTTCACTAGTCCATTGTCCGTTCGTACTTTCTGATACGGCCTTAAGCAGAAGGGACAGCTGTTCTCCGTAGGGTCTCCAAATTGAGGATACAAAATATCCATCCGCGTTTCAATACAAAGCTGGCAGCTCCCGCAGAATGTACAGCAGAGGCCTGACTCATATGTTTGTCTGCAGAGTCCACATACAAAGCGAGTGTATCCATCAAACATAATCATCTGCCCCGACAAGTAGAGGCCGCATCTAATTCCACACTCCAAACAGATTCGACGGTCCCGTTCAGCGTATCCTTTGCCACGTTTCCCTTGGATTTGCTCGTCGGCAAAAGCTTTTCGAAAGCGGAGCTTCAAACAGCGGCTGCAACAGAAGTACTCGTTGTATCTAAGGGCATAAGCTGAGGGATAACTTGACCATGGAAATAATACTTACCGATTCCAATTCTCCATGGTGCACAGGAACAGCAACTTCTGCTCTGTTGTTGTAGGCGTTATGGCGGTTAATCTAGACCTGAAGAGTCGACTGGTTTGGGATAGAGCCAGATGAGAGGAGCAGTCCAGCCATCTGAAGATATGTAGATGAATCTCGGTCGGTAAATCAAGGACTGTCACGGATGGTATCTTAGCCATGAAGAAATATATCGTTCGTCATGACAAAAGAGTAGGGACGCAGTAACGCTTGGGGTAGCCGAGTCAAGACAGCTCTACCTCTATTTTATTAGCGGTTACTTCGTGGTCTCAAGTACTTTTGTAAAGGGTACGTCAATCTACCGTTGGCTTGTGATCGGGTCCGAATGCTTTGTAGGGTGCGTTTGGAGGCATTTGGTGCTCCGCCATCCTCAGATCGGATCATTTTGGTAGCCTGACACACTTGCATTTCAAAGCTTACCCGTAAAGCAACCCATCTCATAAGTATGGGATCGCTGTGAAGGGCTGCAGCATAATTGATTCAACCATACTAGCCCAACATGCCGTTTATGACAATCTTGAAGAAAGGAAGGGAATCAACCTCACTTCGGCAGTGAACCGCGTTGTCTTTTCTGCAGATGGCGGTGTCCATCCTTCATCGCAGTTCGCCAACGGAATACGTAAGGCAATGGGCACATGGATTTATTGCCGGGCTCTGGCCGTTAAACTCACTCTGTGACTGACCTATTTGGAGCGCAAACTGGCACATCCTGCAAGATACTCAATAGTAGCCGAGCCCGTGAAAGGCCTAGTACAGCGGTGCGGTTGCGAGACACATGAGAACACAGACAATCTACTCACAGAGACTATTTGGCCACGCGTAACATCATTATTCGAACTAATTTTCTTACACTTAGTCTTTTTCTCGCAAATATTCGTCAGGAGTGACACACAAGTAACTAGCCTCAAAGTAAACGAGGTGGCTGCGAATGAAGCGTATTGTATACTGGTACCAGCAGTGGCCGACCGGGCGCGCCTTTTGCTCGTGGGGTCACAATCACGCTATGCGGCATTTCAGTTTGCAGCGGTGCGCTGAAGAGGTGTTAGGTAGCAGGTAGCAAGGTTTCCCAATGGTATAGCCTGCATGAATTGCTTCCAAGTTGTCGGCTTGATATGTGGATGTTCGGAATTGTCCCGGTCTAGCCACTGGTACGTCTGTGCGTTTGAGGTCCAGTGCTGGTAGTGCCTGCCTAGGGAATGAGAGTATGGAGGGGCACGCAGGTGGAAGCGTATCAAAGCTTCGTGTAATATACAACAGCGCATGTATTGCACCGGTCCTATTATAACTTCACTCTTCATGTTGCAATCACTGTTTTATTATACCAAGTAAGGCGTTATGGACTTTGTTTTTTACCAGTTCCAATTGCCCCTCAAAGAATACATTGACGAGTTCTCAAATCGCTCATTCGACAGCGTTGATACAACTTATAATACGGGAACCAAAGCAAGGTTAAAATTACGGTACAAAAGCTGTGTTCAATGCCGGCTCAATGTAGATACATCGACGATGCAAAAGGCTAGCGGAAAGATTCCCTAATCTGGATTAGCGCATTCAAGGTGGAGCCAAGGAAATAACGAGAGAGAGTGTGCAGGTAAACCTGATTTCGAATATCACGGTAATAGTTTTATTCTATTTATTTTGGTTCTGAGGTAGGAACTTGAGTTACGTAACCATCAGGGCGATCAGGTTTACCGTCCATTCTCATGACATGCTTTTATCGAAATTATTTAGTGTTTACCTTTTGCTTCACATTAGATCCAACAGCGGTTTATATACTCCAATAACTTGATCCTGTTCAAGTCAGTTGTGACCTTTATATTGCCTGAAAGGACTAAGGAAAACGTCTGCCACTAGAAAGCACGGTAGAACTCCCAGCAGCTCCTCCGGTAATATAAGCTGAAACGTGAGCTGACCTTATCTTACAGATGCGCTCTGTAAAAGAAACGCCGGAACACGGGAAGATGGCTTTGTTAGAAAGTTTAGCCTCCGTTGGATTTTATATTTTTTCAAGGGTCATATGGACCAAATCTCAAAATAGTGCGAAAATAGTCTCCCGTTACAGCGACCTATCCCTATATGGCCCTTCAACCAGTACATGATTTGACCGCCAATGTTAGTAATAATGCCTTGACAAGTCAAGTTCATAGACCTAGACCAACGAGCATTGTGCCTCTGTCCAGATGCTACGATACATCGAGTGCCGCGATGTCGTCGGTTTGGCGTTCGGCTGATAAAAGGTTATCCGTTGGTCTGCTCATGAGCGGATCAGCATGTTGAAAGGCTTGGTCACTCTAGAACGTTATATTTTGACGATATGGAGTATATCTATTCGGTACACGGAGCATTAGACACTTGAAACTCCACAAGCTCCCTGGGGCATAGGAAGGAATGACCTACCATTCTCGTATGTTACATGTGGCAACTGTGTTGAACAAACACAGGAAATCAAATCTGGCAGCCGGTTTCTGCCACCATGCATTCATGGCATAGCAATTCCCAGCTCCTTTCCAACTCACGTCTTTTTAGAGGGAATACCATTGTATAATTATTGCTACCGACTCAGTACGATATAGAAAGTAAGTAGACGTACAGAAGTTTGGAAGCAAGGTCTACTAAGGAATGCCATGCCCGTATGCCACCAAGTGCTGCTGCAAAGTGTGAGCCACTAACGGTTGCGCCGGCCTATCAGGCCCTCATTGACTGCCGCTTTATATAAGTAATCAGAGGATCCCCTGGACAGCAACTGTACATTGGATTAATGTCACCTACGCTATCATTTCGACTAAGCCCTTGACGTACCCTCCGCTTCCAAGTGTTGCCCATCGAAATGGCACTCTCGGCAATCGAGTGTCTTCCGCCCGAGATCATCGAGGTTATCTACCTCGATGCTTTAGAGGTCAACTTTGC